GGTACTTATTTGGAGTCTTATGTAATATTAGATCCGATAAATCTAGAGATTATAAAATGTGATTTGATATTATACGCGTACATTTAAGTAGGATCTAAGCAAATGGGTTTTAGCCATATATATAATTCATATATAATTTGAAGTTATTTTTATGCATAAAATGTGATTTTTTGGGATCTCGTATGCTTTAGAAAGGGATAAGATTATATAATATAAATAGTTAATTCAAATAGAAAAGTAATAGATGAAGTAATGAAGTGTAGATATTTTGTTTGATATATTTTGGCATATTTGTCTTTGTAATCTTTGCTTTATTATATGTACATTAATATGATTAAATTTGGGTGATGAACTTTTTTAATGCAAAAATCTACAATTGTGAGTGACTAAACTTTTGGACAAAAATATTGAAATCAAATTCCAAAATTTCATAAAAACACTATAAATAACAAATGTTGTATAGAGGTAATTCTGATATGTATTTAAAATCACAATAAAATGGCATCAAAAGCAATATCCCTCTTCCTCCTCTCGCTCGTGATTCCTTGTAAGACTCTAAATCTTTCATAAGTCCGTAATTTACTTTAACAAAGTGTGTAGGATATGTACATAGCATATCTTATTTTTGACTGATATCTTCTTTAGATGCATGGATGGTCAATATACGAACCGCAAAAGCTCAGTCTGCTATGTTTGCTCCTTGCAAGACAGCAGAAGAATGTGATGCCGCCAATTGCGCCAGCGGGGAAGCTCTATGCATAAGGGAACAATGCCATTGTATCAGTTCATCAAGTCATCTTGCAAAACGTTACCAGACTCAGCTTATACAGTACTAACAGTTTTAAATATATAACAAACTTACTTTTCATAAGAAAACCTTTTTCATTAATCCAAAAACTCCAAAACAGAACTCGTTTTTCAGATGAAATAGATATTTTACTTACAATTGAATTCAAAGCGAAATCAATCACTCTATATAAAAATTAAATCCATCTTTTACGAAATCTACAGAAAAATATGTATCCCTTAGTAATTTCACTTTTGATGATCATGAACATTGAAACATATTTGGATAATGTATGTCATATACAGTATCTGGTTTTGTACGGACCAGGCCGGTCTAGCATAAAACCAGCTCAAACTGAAAAAATTGGTTGATAAGGGTTCATAATTTTTCGGCTTACGACATCGCATGTAAGTAACCAAAGTAGTATGTATTGCAGTACATTGACGTCAACGTCTCTATTTTACCATTATGTACTCATGTTTTATACTGATTTTACTAATTATATTGTAAATATCTTTTACATATTTCTAATATTTTTAATTCAAATCATTAAACAGAAGGCAAATCTAACTCAATTCTCCTCATCGCATCTGTTCTCTCAAATGAATCTGTCTTCAAACCATGTAATCACAAGAAATGTAAAGTATCGATGAAATTTTGTTAATTTCTAAACTTTACTTATATTATTTAGAGTTGACAGTAGTAAAATTATAGTTTTGGCCACGAGAATAAAATCTATGTAAGGTGACTTTGAATTGATTTTCTTTTGTTCGGAAAATCATTTCCACCTAAAGCATAATGCATTTAATCTAGCATTTGAAGTGATTTGAGTTTTAATGAATTTTTAGAAAATTCTGGGTTAACCAGGAATTTGTTATGATTTGGTATTAAAACTCACTGCAATCTCACATAAAACTATGGAATTATAATTTTTTTTTGTATTTTTAAATAGTAAACTCCACTAAAACACCTTGAAATCATTCAAAATTCAATGTTTAAAATATTTCCAATAACAGTGTGGATTTGAGAATATATTTTCAAATCACTAGTCCAATAACACTGGATTTTAAAATATTTTTTAATATCCATGTTTAAATACCATAGGATTTGTCACTTAATACAAATCTTTCAAAATCCATGATTGAATACATCCCACAAAGTTGATATAAGAGAAATCATAGGGCAATTACATTATATTATTTCCGATTATTCTTAGCTTAAAACGGAAACAACTTTTTAAATATATGATAAACCGATATGGCATCAAATATGAATATAAGAAAAACATGGCAATAAAATCAAGCAGTAAAAGCAAAAGCATCATCCAAACCAACCAAGAATGTTTACATTTTCATATACATTCTGTAAATTACAATTTTCTATTAATGCCAACAAGTCATACTAAATAAGAAAAAAAATTGCAATTAAATTCCCAAAGCTCGAAGAGACTATAAATAAATAGTAAAGGTATATAGCTTGTAGATCACCTTGGAAACACTTAACCATAATCAAGAAATGGCATCAAAAATGGCATTCTCCTTTCTTCTCGCTCTCGTTATTGCTTGTAAGTCCCTCTAATCTGTCGAACCAGACTTTTATCTGGATTTGAAATTTGAACATAAACATATGTTTTTTACCTATGTGCTTTCATTAGGTGCAATGACAGTGAGAATTCCGAATGCGGAAGCTCAGATTTTTCTTCCTTGCCAAACAACCAAAGATTGTGAATACCTTCACTGCTCGAGCGGGACACCTCTGTGTGTAAACAAACAATGGCAATGTACCATTTCATTGACTCATCAAGCGAAACTTGACAACTTAAAAAATCCAATGACTCATGCTCAAACGTGCAAGTCGACGAATGACTGTGATCCTCGTATGAGATTTACATGTGCCTCTCGATCTTATATGTGTTTTGATGGCCTTTGTACTTGCACTAATTAGTGCGAGGTATTATAAACATTGCACACTTCCTCTATTTTAGTTTTATTATAAACGTTGTAAGCTTCTTGTTTTTGCTCTCTTATGACGATTTCTTCAAAAGAATAATAATATAAACTTATGACTAAAAAGATAACGGTTCAACAGTTGAGGGGAGTCCTTTGTGACATGTATTGGTGCTGAGCTCTCTCTATATGGACTTCTCTAAAAGCACTAATCGTCTTATAAGATTTAAGAGTGTATGTTCCGTCCGGTTTTGTAAGCTGTCCAACTTTGACAGAATTGGTTCGGAACGGTCTATAAAATTTGGCCAACTAACAAATCTCTAGTCATAATTTTTTTTTTTTTTTGTGTTGTCAAGAATCTCTAGTTACAGTTAAGTACTCATATTTTATATTAATTTTACTTACAATGTAGATAATTGTACACTATCGCTGCTTGTTTTCAAAAACGAGTACAGTATTAATCTTTAGCCATGTAATCACAAGCCAAAATATTGAATTATTCAAAATGTAAGTATTATTTACAAGTTCTATTAATTTGTAAGCTTTATCCATGATTTAGAGTTCACAGAATAATCAAAGTATATATATTTTTTGCAATAAATAAAAGTAAACTTTTTGTCACCAAAATAAAATCCATAAGATACTACTTGTCAAATCGATAAGTTACATTTTCATTGAATATTTTTTTCTAAAAATCATTTCCACACAAAAAAAAATTAATGTAAGAGAAATTATCATAGTACATTGTATCTCCTGTAAATCTTTGCTTCAACGGTAATATCTTAATATAGTTATGAAAATTGATATGGCACATAATCATGACTATATAGAAACTACCAGAAATTCCTTAAAGATCAATGAATGAAAAAAGATAGATGATAAATTCTGAAACTTCAACGAGACTATAAATAGCAGGTCTCCATATGTCCAATGCCATAATTAAGAAATGGCATCAAATATCATATTCTTCTTCTCACTAACGCTCGTCATCGCTGGTAAGTCTCTCTAATCTCTCTAACAAAATACTTATTCAAAAGTTTGAACATAAAAGATGTTTTTTAATATTAAAAAATTGATCGATGTGCTTCATTAGGTGCAATGATGGTGAGTACTCCGACAGCCAAAGCTCAGATTTCGCATCCTTGCAAAACAACTAAAGATTGTGAATACCTTCATTGCTCTAGCGGCACACCTCTATGTGTGAAGAGACAATGCCAATGTAGCGTTTCAGTGACTCGTCAAGCCAAAATCGACAATTTAATAACAATGAGTAATGAGCAGACGTGCAAGTCGACGAGTGATTGCGATCCTCATATGAAAACTACATGTGTCTCGGGCTCTTATATGTGTTTTAATGGCTTTTGTACTTGCATATGAATATTTCTTGTTTTTACTATCTTAGGAAGATCTTCTCAATGATAATAATAATAACATGCATGTATTCAGAAAGAGTTTTAATTGAGTTTGTGTTTATGTTTAAAAATATAGATTGAATAGTTTCGTGATATTCCTAAGTGGCCAGTTTGTGTTTAATTATTTTCTGTCAACAAGATTAAATAGTTTATGGAGTCCATTGTGACATTCCTTGGTGAATTCACTATACGTGGTATTCATAGTTATGCACGCACCTCCATGATAAAAGGTATAATTTTTTTTTTCCTAATCATCCCACCACAAACGCTCACAAGAATAAGTTTTTGATTTAGAACGGTTCCAAATATTTCAATACGTAATTATTGTCAAACTCCAACTATACGTTTATTTTAGATCCATATAGCTTCCACGATATGTTTAATCGTTACTTATAGTGCACTTACAACTAAGCACATAAACTACACTCACATGTGTGCCTGATTGAACATGTTCTAAATTGGCACGACGGAAAACATTTTTTCTCGCAATCAGAATCTTTCTCGCATCTACCAAACTGGTTAATATCAGCTTTGAGAACAGAGTCTTTTTCTGGATCACCTTCATATTTTTTTTCTTGCATCTTCATCTCTCTTGAAACTGATATCGAGATATCTGTATTGACAAAGCATACGATCTTGTAATCATATGTAGTTTAAACAGACATTCTTATATATATGTAAATATTATACTTACGAAGTGCAATAACAAGAGCGACGACCAAAAAAATAACCCTGCGAGAAACTCTTGCCATATTTTTTAATGTATAGCAAAGTACCAATGCGGTTGAAAATAAATATTCAGACAAAGACTTTTTATTTTTTTTCTAGGATTGATTCTTTCTACGTATGTCTTTATACGGATCTCATGAAATAAGCGTGATACGTTCATCAATGACAACAGATATTATATCAAAACAAAATTTTCTTCCAAATTTTTTAACCAATAATATTAAAACATATGTTATTCAAAATCTGTTTAGAAAAAAAGAAAATCAAATGATTTCCAACATTAATTCAATTCAAATTTAATAGTTTATAAGGCCCTATTCATTTTTAAATAGATTATATAATTAATTTTGTTTGATTTGTTTCATATCTATTGTTGGGTGAAATAACATTCATTACTAAAATGGTTTGACAGTGAACATCTAAATGGATAAAACACAGCACACTACCTTCTAGTATTTCGGAAACTCTCGGCCAAGAACTTCTTGAAACTCCCAACGCCTATAGAATCTTCCGAAAATGTTGTTTATAGTACTGGTATTTAGAGGCTTATGATCTTTTAGGAAGTCAAGTTTGATTAGGAAATTAGCTCATCAATCCTTTAAGCTAGGCCTAGGGTTTAAAGACGGCGTCATGGAAAAGAGAATTGACGAGCTTTGGCAAAAACCCCTAGAATCATACATTTGTCCATCACTATTGAAAGATATTGACGACAATAATTATGGCATTTGTTTTCATAGCAACCAATAACGCTTTAAAGCGTTCTCATAACGATCAACTCTTCGCAAAGTCAATATCTTTTTTTTTTTCTCTTTGAGAAAGTTCTCAAAGTCAATATCTTCAACTACCAACACCCAAATCTCCGACATGTTTTCATTGAAAACTCGACATTCGTTTTTGTTCAATCCTACAAGGATTAACGATTGCAACACCAAAAACGCAAGACACACACTTATTTAGAACAATTTTAGCAATCAAACAAAGATGCCACATATTGAATTAAAAACAATCATAGAACATGAAATTCACAAATATGACTAACCCACTTTCATTGCACGAATACTCATAATTCCAATCTCGGTCACTTTATAAATCTAGTGACTCAAGTACATGAAAGGGTTTTAGAAACTATGCAAATTAGAACTATAACCGAAGAAAAAGAATTTTATAAACTTGCAAAATGTACAAGTATATATCAATCAACAATCATAAACGAATCATAGTTTAGTGTAAATATTAAGATGATCATAAATTCATTTTATGTCTGTAAATTAACACACATGTTAAATTAATTATATTGTCAGTTAAATGTGAGTGAACAATTAATTATTTTGTATATATTATAAACATGTCAGTGGAATAAATAAATTATCGCATTTTTCATCCTTTTAACTACACTAGATACATAATTTTGTCTTTATGCTACTTATAAAATATCCAATATAGAATCATTACTGTTACTGTAACAGAGAAACGTGAATTTGGGGAATAAGAATCAGATTAAGTTCACTTTTAAACGCAAAAATAAGTCTCTGTATATGTCAAAAATAGGGATATATCCAATTTCCTTTCTGTGGCGGAGATGGATTCTTACCCGCCTAAGGAAATTTATAACCACATAATTACAAAGGAACAGCCACGTATTTGATTGATTAAACAAGAGATTTGTCTAGAATTAGATCACATGTTTGAAGAACATTTTAAAGTGTTTTTCTTTCGCTGGAAAAGAACTCTATAAAGTTATTTCTTTATCTAGATGGATTTGAGATCTTATATATATATCAAGATATGTAGGTATATGTGCACACATGATAATATGACTGAATATGTTTGTGCTCATCTAAAAATGGGGAGGCATGATTGACCTAAGGCATAATATTAGATGGGTTCGTTTCAAATCTACCAAGTGGAATTTGATTTGCCTAGTGATATAAATGGATATATTCTATATAGGTAAGAAGAAGAAAAAAAAAGTTTGATGAAGTCGAATACACAATTACATAATGTACAGATGACATTTGCTGACGCCATTTGGCAGCAGTTAGGTTCAAAAGTGCCAATGATATATTTCTTTGATTAATATATAGCATCTAACTTTTTCTTTATTTTGTTATGCTTTCATGTGGCTCTCCTTAATCGAAATAAATTATATCTTTAAAAAAGGGGTCTTGTATGCCCTATTACATATTTTATCATAAAATGCTAGAACATATTATAGTATAAACATGCATTTTCTTAGATAGTACTGTACATATTTTCTATCTAGAACAAAAAAAGGTGTTTTCCATTTATTCAACTTTTATTGAAATGTGCAGTCTAATTTTTTCCTGATACGACTTAGCAAATATTTGGAAATTAAACAGTTATCAAAATTTTGCAGAGATTATTTTTAGTTTCTCTATAACTCACATTTAAATTAGTTTAAGACGGCGAAGACATTAGTGTAACCAAACTATTTAATTAATTTGTTGGTTTATAATGGTTAATTATACATACGAAAAGCGAAGTACGAAAGGCCTTTAATTTTATTTTATGGATACGGATGGATAGAGACGTCGGTACCATTGCACCTCTTATGGTTACAAAATAGAAGAAAGCAAGTCGAGATACTATGATTAGGAAACACTTCTTATCCGAACCTTTCATTATTAATCATAATTTAATCGTGGAATTATATATATGACCTCTATAACCTAATCAATGTATATGCTAACCAAAATTTAGAAAAATCTTCCTCTATTTTAAAGTTATTCGGTCGTGTCGATTCGTGTTCACAATAAATACTGTAGGGATTAGAAAATGGCTTACGTAATCTAATAAGTTAGGTTTTGTAAGTACTTAATTAATTGGTGCCTGAAGAGAAGCACGAGTGGATCACTACCTTAATTTGATTGCTAAATACTATAGTATAAAACATACTTTCTAAGAGAAAATGATTTTGAATTCAATCAAGAGACTGAAACCAATAGCTAGCATACAAGCATTTGGTTAAAATTAATCTTTATAAGCGGTGGATAGAGGTTCCGACTTTCAATTAGTATTATCATCATATCATTATAAATAGAAGATAGGAATACCAATCTTCAATAGAAAACTACTAATACAGATCATGAAAAAAAAAGGATTAAAAATATGTGGAGATTAAAGTGGGGAAAGTGGAGACATTGAGTCATAATGCATCAATATATCAAAATTTTCCATACACACTTCTTCTTTAAGCTATTTAAATGATCATATAGTTGAAGCTTATAATTGGTGAGGCATCACGCTTTAATTTGTAGTGCAGTTATAAATTCTTTTCTTCTTGATATAGAATTTTTCTAACGAAGCTAGCATCCACGAGTACACCTTATGTGATTTTATAGCACATAGAAGTTACAGTATATATATATATATATATATATCTTCGCAAATCAATAACATTTTTCATTTGTCGATTCTTTTCATCGGTAAAGTTATAAGAATATATTCTCATATGGATATAGATCTAATTGTGGTTTTACTTCATATTACTAATTGTGTAGATTTATATTTTTTTAGAACAGGTTATGAAATTTTATAATTTTGGAGTTATTTTGTGAAAACACAACTACTAGTCTACTAGAAAGTTTTATAATATTTAAAAAATAATAATTTTCATAATCTTTTTAAATCAGATTATTTTAAAAACTAGAAAAATGTTTCTAATGATTACCAAAAATATTATATAAAAAACATGTTGAAATAAAATAAAGACCGCTACCAAAAAAGGCCACATATTTTACTTTTCACCTCAAACCCCTCAAAGGCTCAAACTGGAGTATTAAAATTTTAGGCAGTGCTCGTAACTATATGCCCTGATCCCAAAAAAAAAAAAAGTAAAACACATCAATCATATGTTCTTAATGACCGGAATCTAGTCAGTTAATGAGTTTTTTAAAAAATTAGTTTCTTTTTTTAGTAACTAATTCCATATACTAAATCAAATTTAATCCATTTAGTGATTCTTTCGGAGATGGATTAAAATTGATTTTCTTGAAGTCTTCTAAAGTCAATGGAAATGCTCTTATTGTTTAGCAGCTTCCAACATAAAAACAAATCGGCTGAAATAACTTTAATTAGTTATTAATTATGTTGAAAGCTGCTAAACAATTAAAAACCAATTAATATAAAAATAAGAAAATAAAAAAAATAAAAATAAAATGATTATCATGCTTTTTTTCTAGGTAGTTTTGTTTAGGGGTTCTCAATTTTTTTATTTTTTTCATGAATAATTTATTTTTGTGTTTCACGGATGATATCTGATATCCGATTCATAAGTTTCGTATGAACGTATCATTATGTATTGAAAGCAAAGAAGGAAAAAAATATCAGGTTTTTTTCAAACAAAATCATCTAAATACAATTGTTTTCCTTAGATTGGCATGTTAGTCTGTTAGATTTGACATATATGTTGTATCACACACATTCGATAAGAATCTTAGGTTATTGATGGTCAGATACATCTTTCTAAGATTCGTGTAACAAGCCAATGCTTCTTTCTATAAATACATTTTTTCATCAGAAACTATAGATCTATCTTCCATCGATCCGACGGTCAACTTAATATCTCAAAAGAAAATTGAAAGAGTTGTCGAATAGTATTTGTCATAACTCCTACGTATCACATCTCTGTTTTTTTTTTTTTGGATGGTGCATAGTTTACATGTGCTGAAAATACTGCTCTATTAATTTTTTTTTTTTGGACGAAACGTACTTATACTAAAACTTTTTTACATATGCTAAAAATACTGCTTTAATTCGACTTCTATATACTACGGCGTGTATGACTATGAATGGTATACGAGAAGATATAAAAGAAGAATTTCTGTCATTTGTCTGCTACAAAATAAAATAAAAAAGAAATAGTAAAAAAAACTACATTACTAAAAGACTTATGAAACTGAAATTAAATATTAAATGATGCAATAAAGTCATATATATAAACAATGGGCATGTAGATGCATATTGGATCTATTGTACTCGGTGCTCAAACTTATCCTATCTATTAATAAAATGTTTAACTCTTTTTTGTTACAGAAAAGTTCAACTTTTTGTTTTGAGAACAGAAAAGTTTAACTTTATAAAGGCATATATGTTAATTGTAAATTACTTAACTTTAATAGTGGGGAATCGATCACTCTAACGTGTTACTCTACGGGATTCTCAGTTCTCCTAAATATATAATGCGAGTTCTGATCCTTTGTCCGTTTTATCTGTCCGTAGCCGTGAAGCGTTTATCTCGTCCCGCTTTGTGTCGGGTCTCATTATCAATACTAGGAGAATACCCACTTATAGGCGTGAGTTTTTTTTATATATATTTTTGCTTCTTAATTTAGTTTCAATAATTAGCTTGTTTTATTGATATTTTCAATTTGATATTAAACATTTTATAGTAAAACTATAAATTCTGGACTTAAACCAAAATTTGTAAATTTTAGAAGAGGTTTTTACAGTTTTTTTTGTGAAACCAAGTGTAATCGGATAGTAGATCCATTAACGACCAAAGTTAGAAAACCAATTCCACCAGCACATCAAGATGACAACATGAATGAAGAAGGGATGAAAGAATATTGATGATATATTATGAAATGTGAAGAGTGAACAAATGGTTTGAAATATTTTTTTTGGTGAAGAACAAACAATAAATAAAGAAAGGAAAATTTACATTCAAAAGAGTTTTAAAATTATGCTATTAAATTCATCTTTGACTGTAATATATTTTTTATCTTTTAAAAAAAAAAAATTTGAGAGCTGATATGACAGAAAAAGAGATGCTTAGGTGTCAAACTTGTGAGATTTCACTCACTCTTTATATAATAGATTCTCTTTGCCAAAAAACATTTTTCTTGCTTAAAACTACAATTTTTTAACCAAAAAAAAAAACTACAATTCGAAGTAAAGACTAATATCAACAGGTGGGTCTAACTAATAACGTGAAAGATGTATAATCTGCATGTCATGCCAAAAATAATTTGTCCATCTTAAAAAACATGTATTATGATAAATAATTTTAAAAAAAAATCACGCCAATTTTCACACATTTGAAAAAATTGCAAATATGAAAAATCTAGTCATTTTGCCAATTGTTGGATATACTATTTAGTATCCAATTTTTAGTTATAATATACTTCCTCTATTCCTTATTAGTAGATTTTCTAAGAAATAATTACTTGTTTCAAAAAAAAATTTAAAAATTGTGTATGCATTTTTATTAATTAATGATGAGAAATTGTAAACTTTAAGAAAATAAATTGGATTTATTGAGATTCTATTGGTTTAAAGTTATATAGAAAATTTTTAATCACAAAAAATAATAGATTTAATAATCAAATTTGTTTTCTTAATATGTGTATTTTTCTTTAAAAAAATATTAATAAAGAACAGAGGGTGTAGTTAAAGATCATTTACACTATCTTTTTTATTTTGTATGGAATACTTTTACTTCTGTAAAAATATTTTCACCGTTTCTAAAACCTAATCAATGATAATTTTGACTTTAAAAAAACTGACAACTCTTTTTCTGCCAATTGACTATCTTCCCAACATATTAAGTCAACCAAATTATCAAAAATAAACGTAAAATAACCAAACCAAGTTCCGCCAATAAATTTCGAAATTACGTCAAATCTGTGGATTATTCAAATGATCTATCAGATGATGTTTTTCACGCTTCTGCCTATACACAAAATACTACTATTCATAAGTAATAAAAAGAAATTATTTGTACAATACTCTCTAAATATACATTATAATCGAGAGGACCCACTTCTAAATGATTTATTCTTTCCAATATTATAAAACCCTTCTCCCACTTCCTCCTCTTACTTGAGCTAACTTCCCAATTCTTCACACACACACACACACACAAATACAAACTCCTTCATATTCATTTCTCTTATAGACCAAATAACAACCATGATTCCGGCGGAAATCACCGGATACTTCCAATACCTATCGCCGGAAAACTTAGCAACAATCCCGGCGGAATTCAATATCATAAACATGCCCTCATCTCCAACTTCTTCTTCTTCCTTAAACTACCTAAACGATCTCATCAACAACAACAACTATTCTTCATCATCCACTTGTCAAGATCTCATGATGAGCAACAACTCAGCTTCCGACGAAGATCATAATCAAAACATCATAATACTCGACGAGAGGAAACAGAGGAGGATGCTTTCAAACAGAGAATCCGCGAGGAGATCTAGGATGAGGAAACAGAGACACCTCGACGAGTTATGGTCTCAAGTGATAAGGCTTCGTAACGAGAACAACTGTCTTATCGATAAGCTGAACCGCGTATCGGAGACTCAAGACAGCGTATTGAAGGAGAACTCTAAACTCAAAGAAGAAGCTTTTGATCTTCGACGGCTTGTATGTGAACTAAAATCTAACAAGAAGAACATCAACAACAGCAACAACAGTTTTCTACGAGAGTTCGAAGATGTTTAGTATTTTCTTCAAATTGAATCGGAGGGGCAGAGATTTTGGGTTTGTGTTTTTTTTTGCTAAATAATTTTGGGTTTGTGTTATTCCTATGTATCAACAGAAAAAAGATATTAACCATAAATAAATAAAAGAAATACAGAGAAAAGATCGAGGGATTTTGGGTTTTGGTTGTTTCTCGAATATAAATTTGGTAACGATCATATATTATATTGTATGATCATAGTATGTGTATTGAAGTTAAATAATCTAACTTACTTCTTGAGCATATTCATGTTCTCTGAGCATTTGCACCCAAAAAAAAAAAAAAAAAATCATGTTCGCTGAGCTCTCTTTTTTTTGTTGTAATAATCATATGACACATCATATATGCATATTATGTTCATAGACATTTTTTATTTTCGACGGAATGTTCATAGACATACCGGTAACATGATTGTTATAAAAAAAAAAACAGATTGCTAACAATGAATAATGAAAAATAAAATAGTGGCCGGAACTTATAACATGATTGTTATGTTAAAGAAAGAACTATAGTCTATTGTTTACATCATCTAGATTCAAATTCGTAAATCATAAGTATGTCAGTATGTATATTTTGCATATAAAAATAAAAAAATGTAGATCAATTATGACGACCTCTATTAACAAATTCTGAGAGTTTGTTCGCCGCATAAATACAATTGCATTGGAAATCATTAGAAACATTCATGGCAAACAAGAAACAAAACAAAAGATTGCTAAAAATCGTGGCCCTTTTTCTTTTTTTTTTCGAAATTTAATCAAAGATGTAATCATTCAATTTTTTTATTTTCTCATAGCTTTTATCAACTTTTCTTTATTGAACTTTTTTTCATCCATTTAAAGCATCACTCCGAATGTGACAAACCCACCAAGCATGTCTACGCTTGAATTTCACCTGGCGCATTACTATTATGTAAATTGAGCACTAAATAAATATCGAGTTAATAATCTTTAATTTTATTCTTTTTATTAGTATAACTTTTGACCTACTAAAAAACACATAGATGGGTAATGATAGATTGATACTCTTTTCTTATAAACTGCACCGATTTTCAACCACAAGCTTCTCTAACATTATAAACTGCATATTTTATTCTCACATTAATGCTATTACCGACCGATATTAACCTCATAGAACGATATCATCCTCGAAATCACAGCTTAGGATTTGGTCGAATTATCTAGAGAAAATTATTATATAAAAATATATAAGAACAGTATCTACGAATCGGTTTTGGACCTAGGCACAGTAGACACCATGATCCTTATATTCAAAACGATTGTCAATAATGAAAATGATTCCAAAGAAGTTTTTTTTTTTCTTTTTTTTGAGAAAAGGCTTACCAAAGAAGTACTTTTGCTATGCAAAAATATGAATTTCAGAACAATATTCTATGTGTCTATACTTAATTCCATTGATTTTTATATTAGTTACGATATCAAGTATTGTGACCCATTATATTATAAGATTTATTCAATTTGATATTGGTAATTGCTGAATATAATTATCTATGACTTTCTAAAAGAATATGGTTGATGGGGATTAAGTTTGTAATGAAAGAAGACAAATTTTATAAAAGGGAACATAAGAAGACAAAGAATCATGGAGGCTCTGGTGATAGTGCCTGCCAAGAATTTCAAAGGATAGAACGTTCTCGAGATAACTAAAGAAAAACTATAAGTATATGATACACTTAATCAAGTTTCTAAAGAGACTCAAAGTTAGAAATGTTGGATATGTAATAATGTTTTAGGTTTATATACGAGCAATGGCCGATAGATATACTCAAAATTAAATTTTAAATTTATCTAAAAAGATTTGTATATATCACACATATAAAAATATATAACAATCACCTTGACAAAAAAATCTCCGTAAATCTAATAATTCCATATTTAAAAATATTTCTTGTTTGTTAAAAAAAAAAAATTACAGACCACAATTGTTATGATTCCAATTAAATAAATATATTATCCGTTTAGATATTATAGTTGCTAGCTAATATCCTTCCGTTTGAGGAAAATAATTGAAGGCGAGCCCACTGAAAGGATTAGTGTACCCTTAAGGCCTTACCCTCTTAGATTTCTCCGAGCAACTAAACATTAAACAATTGTTGTTCTAATACATCAAATCAATCTCAGAGAGATCGATTCAGTAAATCCAAAGTAGCATTGCTTCTGGTCAACCAAGTGAAAATTCCGACGAGATTTCGATGTGTTTCATCTGATTAAGAATCTGCTTCTGTAGAGTAAATCTGAAATCTTTTCGAGATGGGTCTCTTCGAATCGGTGAAATCGATCAACTGGGAACACGAATCGTTCCCGGCTTACCAGGATTTTGGGTTTTTGCCTCTCTTCGCAGTGTTCTTCCCTACAATAAGATTTCTTCTCGATAGATTCGTCTTCGAGGTAATCATTGCCTTATCTTCTGATTCGTTGTTTCTCTGAATCGCATTTATTGACATACACAGAAGAAGAAAAAAAACATATCGCTTTCAAATCGTATATGTATTTTATATAGTATATGTTATGTCTCTCTTGTTTGTAACTTTAATGCTAAATTTCTACTTTTAGTAACGACTCTTGAGATTAATCATTACTCTTGACTCGTGTCGGTAAATGAATTTAGCTCATCATCATTCAGATCTTGTGATGAAAAAGTCTTTGTAAATGCAATGTTGATGAAGATTGTATGTATTGTAGAAGAAAGTTTCACTTTTTGTTTTCTTTTAGCTTTGGTTTCCATAGTTCAATGAATAGAGATACGTATTGGTGTTTTTGTAGAAATTGGGAAAGCTTTTGATTTATGGAAGGAAGAGTCCGGATAAGAATGACAACATGAAAGAGAGGAAGACGAAATCGAGAAAAATCAGAAAATTCAAAGAGTCAGCTTGGAAGTGTGTTTACTATCTCTCAGCTGAGCTACTTGCTTTGTCTGTGACATATAATGAACCTTGGTTTACAAATACTCTCTACTTCTGGATTGGTCCTGGAGATCAGATTTGGCCTAATCAACAGATGAAGTAAGAGTTTCATTATGATCAATCTCTTTTTTATTGTGATGGGAATTTGCTAGATTTGATCTCTTGTCTAATCATTTTGTTCGTTTTCTCATGTGCAGGATAAAGTTGAAATTTTTATATATGTTTACAGCTGGGTTCTACACATACTCTATATTCGCTTTGGTTTTCTGGGAAACAAGACGGTCAGATTTTGGAGTTTCGATGGGTCATCATATCACAACTCTTATTCTCCTCGTCCTCTCCTACCTCTGCAGGTACAATCTTTACATACATATATGTGTGTACATACATTTACCTTTTGTGGAGGAAAGGATCCTTATTTACTTTTGATCTTCTTTTGTATTCGATTGTTGATAGATTCTCTCGTGCTGGTTCTGTGATTCTTGCACTCCATGACGCGAGCGATGTGTTCCTTGAAGTTGGAAAAATGTCGAAATACAGTGGAGCTGAGAGTATAGCAAGCTTTTCGTTTGTTCTTTTCGCTTTGTCTTGGGTCATTCTACGTCTAATTTACTATCCTTTTTGGATCCTCTGGAGCACTAGGTTAGTTTTATCTACATATCAGTACTTTTCTCTTGAATATGCTTTTAAGACTCTTGTTGATGTTTGTATTGTGTGTGATTTGTGATTTGTGATTTGCAGCTATCAAATTATTATGACTGTGGACAAAGAAAAGCATCCGATCGAAGGACCCATCTATTACTACATGTTCAATACTCTTCTGTTCTGCTTGCTTGTTCTTCATATTTTCTGGTGGGTTTTGATTTACCGGATGCTTGTGAAACAAGTACAGGATCGAGGCAAGCTTAGCGAAGATGTCAGATCCGGTATGCAGTAAAAATCAATTGCAATGAAAATTCATATTTTAGATCATTTAAGTAGATATTATGTCAAAGGCAAAGTAGAGACTGAATTTCATGTCTTTTGCAGATTCTGAAAGCGAAGATGAACACGAGGATTGATCGCATCTTGAGACTCTGTTTCTGAATCAGACAGAATTTGAGAACAGAGACTGTCATACTTCAACATAAGCAGGATTCACTGAAGGTGTGTGCGAAAATTTTAACAGTCAGAGGGTCATAACCGAATCAAATGGATCAGATAACTTTGGAGATTGCATTTTTGGATTGGTTTTCTCAATCGGAATTTTGAGATGATTGATTTCTTTGGTTTGAGCCAATTCAAGATTTTGTTTAGACACATTGCTTAAAGCAACTCCTTCACTTGTTTTACTTTATTTTGTTTTCTGTAGTTTTATTTATGGACTTCATTTATTGTTTTGGATCATTACAATAACACAATTTCTTGTATTATGAAATTTCATCATCTTGGATCTTTTCAGTTCTTAGAAGTTTTTTTTTCTCATATTTTACAATGATAAACTTGCTAAACAATGATGAACTTGTTTAACATTATCCAAAAGAAAATAGAGGAAAATAGAGGAAAAATCACGAATGTTGGCAAAGTATTGCAGTGCAAGGAGTCGAAGAAGACATAAAGCTTCTTGCATCTGTTCCTCAAAGCCATTTCAATCCTGCTTTCTGTAGCCCAAAATTCTGCCGTTAGAGTCGAAACTACGAATCCTTGATGAACCATAAAGAGTCGACAAAGTCCCGCATAATATTATTTATGATTTAGTGTTGTATATGATTTTAGATATGTATCATAGTCACATATCTTTAAGACCGTGTATTATTTGTGCATGATGAAATGTAGTGTTATAACATATTATGGTGACATATTGAATTTTTTACGGTTTAAACCTCCATATGTATGAGTAAATGCCATGGAATATTATAAGTTTGTCATAAACCAAGAAAAATATATGTTATATAGTTTTAAGAAAAAAAAAATCTCAAAAGAAAAAAATAAATGTTGGTAAAGAGATTTTCAGCATCTGAGGCAAATCCATAACCTAATATGGTTTAAAAAAAAAAAAAAAAAACAGATGTGCCCTCCGGAGATGATTCTTTAAAAAGGTCGAGATCATCATCAGACGTAACATGTATTCGAACCTAAAGTTATTGAAGGCAAATAGATATATGTAGCTCCGACGGCAACAAAGAATACAGAATAGAAGCCAATGCCTGCCAATGAAAATGTGATATACTATAGATTTTCTAATTAATTTCTTGTAGAATTTTTTGGTCTTTCTAGAGATAATATCATTTTAGATACCACTAGTTGTTAGTATTGTTGTCTTTTTTTATAAAAAAAAATAAGTGTGTTTATATGTGCTTATGTCATTCTACTTCCCAAAATCTTTGCCATCCCAAAGTCAGATATCTTTGAAGTCAGATTTTTATCTAGAAGAATGTTGCTGGGCTTCAAGTCCCGGTGGATTATGGGACTGTCTCTAAAATTGTGCAGATACGAAAGTCCTCTTGCAATCTCACGGATGATACGGAACCGATTTTCCCAGTTCAGTAATCGGCTTCGAGCCTCATCTACACACACATTGATTGGTCCATTAAAAAAAACACAAACCAAATCGAATTAGAAAAGAGGTTGAAAAACAAAATATACATATCCAAATAAATATATATAAGGAAATGGAGGAGGGGAGGCCACTGACTGAAGAGATAGCGATTCAAGCTAGAGTTTTCTAAAAACTCGTACACTAAGATCCTCTCATCCCTTCGCAGCAACATCCTTGAAGCCGGACAAGGTTTTTGTGCAAGACGTTTAAAATTATTCGAACCTCGTTCTTGAACTCTTCTATCCCTTGAGACGAATCTGTCGCTTCTGTTCCGTTTGGTAATAATGCCTGTAACCACATTATTATACAATATAGAGTTTGATTAACATAGATATATACATATGTTTATACATTAACATATTCCAAATGAGAGAATTCTTACCTTATACACGATACCGAAACCACCTCGGCCGAGTATGTTGGAAGGAGAACAATTATTTGTCGCCTCCACAATCATTGTAAAGTCCATGAAGGTAAATCGATCTTCTTCGGTTATTTCGCTAATCATAATTTCTGTTTGATTTGGTCCTACGCATATATAAAATAATAATAACTATAAGAATGCTACAAAAAAAAAAAAGAAAAAGTTGCACTATAAATAAAAATCATTATCTTTATTATAAATCAATATTTTTTTTAAAAAAAAATTTGATTCTAAACCTAAAATAATCGATTTTGGGCTTAAAAAAAATCGATTTTGGACTTAAAGATCTTAAACTTAAAAAATCGATTTTAAGCTTAAAAAATCGATCTAAAGCTTAAAAAATTGATTTTAAGCAAAAACAAATTGTTTGTCCTCTTATTTCAAAAAAAATTTGGTGTGTTTTGGATTTTAAGCAATGATAATTTATATTATTTTAATTATATATTTAAAAAATATGTTATAAAAATTATTTTTTATTTTGATTATAGACATCATTTTTACTGTACACTTTAGGCTTCAAATGATTTTAGGCCGGTCATGTTTGTATAAATGAGTTCTTATCAAATTTGATGATGTTTTGAACTTTGTTGTTTTTGTTTAGTGTTAATTAATATTCTTTTTCCAGTAGTCTTTCAAAATTTAGAAGTTGTTTGATTTGATGGTGAAAAAAAAAATTATTTGAATAACCCGATAAAATATTACCCCGGAAAAAGAAAAAACAATCAGCATTTACAAGAGCACACAATAGATTCACGCCTTTGAGAGGTCTGTTTTAGGCTAAACCGGTTAGCATCTCGCTGTCTTGGTCGAGAAGACAGTAAGTAACATCGCAAGGAAAAAAAAAAAAAAAAAAAAAAGTCTCTTCTTCGTTCTTCATCGATTCTACTGCATCAAGGTACCTCCTTTTTCACGTTCTTCTCTACACTAAGCCCTAATTTTTCTGGATCCGATTCTTTTACATCTGGCTCGATTTGATTGATACTCTCTAGTTTGCGTCCTCACTCTTGAATTTTAGAAATTTTGAGACTTTTTCTCCTTTTGCCTCTGTATTTCTGGAGATTTAGGTTATAGTTTATAGTCAAAGATCGAATTTTGCTCAGAAAGATCCTGGGTTTATGTCATGTTCTCACGGATTTGAGTTTGAATATCGGTCTAGTCCAGTATAATGTAAGAAACTTGATTTTTCGTTATCAGTGTAATCTAATATTTTTCGGAATAGATTTGAAATTTTCTTTTGTTAGATTTTGGGGTTTCCACAATTTTGGTTGATAATAGATGATGTAGCCTAAGATCTTTTGTAGCTAATGGAGACAAACAATACAATGTAGTCAAACAATACCTTTGCATCCACGCCTAGTTCGAGTTTATGTATGATCTAGAGAAAATACTAAGAACACTAGATTTTTATTATATGCTACATGATTCAGCTCTTTAGAGAAACGTAGAGCTTTTGTTAGAATTTGGAGTTTCCTCGGTTTTCCTTAGATGGGCTTAAAAGAAAATCTGATGAAAGTCCACTTCTTTACGAGTTATTTTAACGTGTCAAAATGTAGGATATATGATTAGATGATTGCTATCTTTCGGTGTATTGCTTGTGGATATTAGATGAATCGACGTTCTTATATGCCCAAGAACGAACAGAAGTCTGCATCTGATTTAGTTTTTTGCAGGGATAAGTTCTATTTTAGTGTCTCTGTAAATCTCACTCGTTTGCAGGGAGTGTGCAAACTCTTATTTAGAACATAAGATATTTTGTTGCCTTCCTGTTTGGTTTATAGTAGATATTGGATTCAATTGAAGTATTACAGTTCAATTAGAATCTAGAGAGGTGTGTGTTTGCATCACCTGTTTATGCTCATCCGTACATCTTTCTTCAGATATGCGAGTGCCTTTCGCTACCTAACTGCATCTCTGATATGTCTTGATACAGGTTTGTGAGACTTCATTCAAAAGCTAAGAAATGGAAGATGTACTAACCGAGAACCCTCCACCTTCAAGATTCTTCCAAGACGATCTTAACAACTTCGTTCAGCCACCTGAATCCCTTCCATCTCCTTTCATCGTCTTCTCAAACCCGAAACCTGAACTGCCTCTCCGACCATCTCTACTCATCATAGCCGTATCTTCACCTTCCCTCTACGTCTTCCACAGTTTACCTTCAAAGACTCTCCTTGGAAGTCTCATCATGCCTGAAGTCCCGTTTTCTGGAAACACCATGGAACCGTCTTTAGAAGACAAATCCTGCAACATATATTCATTGAGTAGCATCGATGATAAAAACTCGATCCTCCTTGTATCTGTTCAGCTTCCGGTGTCTCCTGAACGGTCTAACCTAGTCTCGAGATTACTCATTGGCCAAGACATTATCCCTGAGCGGGTTATCATCTTGGATTCCATTCAGAGCCGTAACTTCAGAGGTAAGCTCTCACCAGACGAAACATTGGCTGCTAAACTCGAGACATCATCTGAGAAGAAAGCAACATCTCGTGTGAATCTGGATTACTTCCCATCAGGGAGTGTCATCGACGGTCTGAGTGCTTCACTTCTAAGCCGGTGTCAGCTGAAGAACATTAGAGGAACGTTGGTGATCTCATGGCCTGAGTTTAGTCCTTCTGTGATAAGATTTGTCGGAGCTCTTTTGAAGAACATTGTCCCGAGTTTGGATATCGCAAGTGTGAACAAAGATCTGGAGAAGTACTCTTCAAGAACTGGTCTTAAAAAGGATGCTTGGCTCGACTCTGATCTATATACATGAGTCTCAAAATAAAGTTGCTTTTTGTTTCTTATGTAATGCTTAGCTTTTCTTGGACAAAACAGAGACCTTAGGTTTGTTTGTGTTGTTCTCATTGCAAACAGTTTTGTTTCACTTTCTAGTTTGTTTCTTTTCGCTTTGAGAAAAAAAATGAAAATTTCTGAGATTATTAAGGGAATTGTTTAACATATAATCTATCAGTTACAACCAAAATCTGAATAGACCCCAAGTCTAGAAATAAACAGAGCTAACGTAGAGTTTTAGTTATCACATTGATCTTAGTTTTATATTTTAGACATTAATTTTCAGCAAGATAAAAATTTGTCTCCACACTAAAATATACGAGTCCTTATGACACCAAAAACCTATATACAAGATAGTAGAATACAAATAAATAACAAGTTTATATATGTTTATGACAAGAACCAAGATCCGATAATTCTCTATCTTGTCATCTTGGACCTGACAACTCCATGGCTTGGACCAACACCGATGAATCGTCTGTGAGATCCGAATAACGTTCAGAAGAAGAGAACTCGTTAGGTTTACTGTAACTTCTGTTGGTTTCTGTTCTCTGTGAAGAAGCTTCCCATTTCTCAACGAGACCATCGCCTTCAAGCATTCTCACAACTTCAGACATCTTAGGACGATGAATCGGAAGGTACTGTGTACAAAGCAAAGCCACTTGAACCATCTCTTCCACTTCGATTCTATCGTAATGCATCTTCAAATCCTTGTCTATTATCTGTTCTAGCTTCTTCTCTTGTTGTAGTTTCTTCACCTACAAGTAACCCCCAAAAAAAGGGAGAATTTATAATATAGCCTATAGATTTTTAAAAATTGAAACTGTTAAGAATCTTGTCGTTGCTCCTTACCCAATCAAGAATCGCTCCTCTTTGGTTCGCTGCCTTTCCAAACTCAAGAGCTCTCAATCCAGTGATCAATTCAAGTAAAAGAATACCAAAGCCAAACACATCTGTCTTCTCAGAAGACTGTCCGGTCGAGAGATACTCAGGTGCGATGTGACCTACCGTTCCTCTCACGGCGGTTGTCACGTGAGACTCCTCGTGATCCAAAAGCTTAGCCAAACCGAAATCTCCGACCACCGCTTCGAAAAATTCATCGAGAAGTATGTTTGCAGCTTTGACGTCACGGTGAATAATCTTTGGATCACACTGCTCGTGCAAATACAGTAACCCTCTTCCTGCTCCTAATGCTATTCGCTTTCTTGTGCCCCACTCCAATACCGGTTTAGCTGCAACACAACATACATACACACGAATCAAGCCGGTTCAACTAAATAAATACCCTAAACCAAAACAAAAAAACAAAAAAACCCTAGATACGTAAGTTATTATTATAACCTTTGAGACGAGAAGCGACACTGCCATTGGACATGTAAGGATAAACAAGAAGACGTTCCATGGAAGTGGTGCAGAAGCCGTAGAGGCGGAGGAGATTACGGTGAACGGCGAGGCTTATCATCTCAACTTCAGTCTGAAACTGAGTCTCTCCGCCGCCATTGTTTACATCTTTTAATCTCTTCACCGCCACAATGGTTCCATCATGTAGACAACCTTTATACACATTCCCAAACCCTCCTTTTCCTACTAGATTCTTGCTGCTGAAGTTACTTGTTGCGGCTTGAAGTTCTTTGAAACTAAACCTCCTTAGATTCCCTAGACATACTTCTCCTTTGCTTTGGTCTGTTAAAATTTTCAAATTCACAAACGCATTGGTACAATTGTTTGTAGAAAACCGGTGAGAAGAAAAGGGTTTTGAAATTACCATTAATGTCAAAGAATACTTGTTGGTTATGTCTTCTTTTCCACCAAAGAAGAAAACCAAAGCCAATGATCAACAAGCAAACACATGTAAGGCTTAAACCCAAGGCTATCGCGATTTTCCGGTTTTTTCTTCCTCCATCAGATACTTCATCTAACAACAACAACAAAAATATAACCAATTTTAGATTACAGAATCTAAAGCTACAAGATTTATTCTTTTTTGGTTTCAAGATTGAAGTTTTAGGTTTTACTTACTTTGTGAACTGTTCAAGCTAATTGACATTGGCTTAGGTTGAGTCCCATTGCAGTCTTTCTCAGTTCCAGTTGGACAAATCTGAGGATTGCCCATAACACTGCATCACAAGTAGAATAGTGTTATACAAAAATTATTTCTTACATAGGGTAACGTTATGTGTATAAATTGCAGAGAAAAGACAATGGAATTTACAATTACCCTGTTTTTTTCTCAGAACAGAGTAAACGACAAATATTCTTTTTCAGAAATAGACTTACTTGAATGTTTTGGCAAGTGATCTTGGAACTGGTCCACTTAAGTTATTGTACGACAAATCCCTGAAAAAAAATAATAATGAAATATATAAATAATTATATACATAGACGAAGAAAATTAGAAGAAAATAAAAGACAGAGAATGTACAAAAAAGTGAGTTGGGTCATGTTTGCCAATGTGCTAGGAATTGTTCCTGTCAGGCTGTTATTATTAACCCTCCTGCACCACAATTTTCAATACAAAAAAATCTCCATAAATAATCATAACAAATTATAATTAAATTATATTGGAGAAAACATTTGGAAAAAATGGGTTCTTACAAGTACTGAAGATTTGTGGAATGAGAAAGAGTGAATGGAATTTGGCCGCTAAATTTATTGGTAGAGAGATCAAGTGTTTTGAGTTTCATCAATTTCCCAATCTCAGGAGGAATATGTCCTGTTATGTAATTGTTCTGCAATAGCCTTTTTTTTGGTGTATCCAAAAGCATAATTAGAAAATTCAACTAAGTAATTAAGAGATGAAGCAACTATGTTTTAGTAAATTAAAAACACTTACACAGTCTGAAGGTATGTTAAATTGCCAATACTGGATGCAAGAGTTCCTGACAAGCTCTGGCTTGGAGCTCCTCTACATACACATGTAAGTAAAGACTGTAAACACATGCGTACATAGTATATAAATATATATATATATGTGTGTATATATGTACTTACAGGCTTAGGACAAAACCATCAGGTGAGCAAGTGATCATGTTCCAGCTACAAGGATCAACTGCTGTGTCATCCCAATTCATTAGGACTCCATGAGGATCAATCAGTGAGCTCTTGATTCCTATAAGAGCAAGAACTAAAGAGGAAACAGAAAAAGAAAAAGAAAAAAACATGTTTTAGAAACTAGAAGAGATTGACAAAAGCAGAATATTTGTCGATTTACCTTCAAAGTTAACACCTTTGTCTGTGAGCTCTGCATAAGATGAACATAGCAAAAAGATGATGATGAGGAAGAAGGTTGGAGAGGACAAAGCATCAATCAGTTTTACTTCTCGTCTTCTGTGCACCATATTTGTATGAATCAAAACATGCATTCAGACTTAGAGTATTAACTTCTAAGGTGCACAATTTGAGGTTTGTTTATTTTGTTTATGAAATATTTACTGAGAAAAACAAGAAACAGGGGATTTTGATATTGAAGTGTCTGTGACTGAAAGTGAAAGAGAGAGAGAGATAGTGAGAGAAAGATTTGTCTGCCAATTATTATCTTATGGTCTGAAGACTTTAAACTGGAAAAGGCAGGAAGAAAATCGGGTAATGCTTTCTTCTTTGATTTGTATAGTTTTCAATCATGTCTGAAAACTACTGTATAGTGTTTGCTTCTTTCATTGATTAGCCAATAAGTTTGTTGATTCAGAGTTTATTTACGTATACGAAAATTGCAAATTTCTATTTTTAACCTCAAGAGAATATATATACAAATGCAACTTTCTTGATATTAATACCAATGAAAAAGAGAGAAAATATGTTCAAAACTTTATATTGCATGAAAATAGATTAAAAAATACAAAAAATACAAACCTGTTTTACTTTACAATATAATGATGAAATATTACAAAGGTACGATTTTTTCTATTGAATAAATGATTGTTTCTTAATCATCTCTTAGAACACATACAATTATGTACTGTATTTTCTTTCCAGATAAAATATATATCGTGTCGTAGTTAAAATGTAACATTGGTTTCTTTTGGATAAAAAAAATGTTTTGTAGAGTGCTATATGTATAATAGACTCATGTTCTCGGATCTAGGACGGCAATAGACGAAAGGTTAGAAAATTTTGGGATAGAGAAACAAATTCTAATCGTAAGATAATCAATTCGAGCAGGTAAAAAGTGAATCCTTATGGTACGCACCATTTATTTAGTCTAAATGTAAGCACCGATAAACATACATTTTCCGGGAAGAATAATCAGGTGGCCTCGAACGAATAAAGCGTGAAATTATTTTATATATAACCGTGAATTAATTAAAGTAATAAACTGTGAATTATACATAGAGTGTGGGACACTTGTGCCGCATAGAGACAATGCGACGAGGGAATTCTTCTTTTTCTTTCTTTAATGACTCGCTTTAACTCTGCTTTATTCCCACTCATCATCCCCAATAATATTTAATTACTCGTAAATAATTATTAACGTTCATAGACGCATTATATTTTATAAACATATTTTTCTTAATGCTTAAAAAAACATCTTTTTTTCTTTTGTCCACAAATACCAAAAAAAAAAAAAAAATTTGCGCTATTTTTTACATAACATAACATGTGCTATTATTGTCAAATGGATGATTTTTTTCTTTCGTCATGTCTTAAGTGGTGGACTATTAGAGAATAGAGAGTACTTTTTTAACAAAACAAAATTAAAAGGTAGAATTATAAATTTAATAAGACGGGAAACAAATATTTTCGAATGAAGGTACAAAGAGAAAACTACAAAACTTAAAATGTCAAAAGATGATTCATGATTGACAGCTTAAGGTGTATTGGTAATTTCGAATGTAAAATAAGTAAATTTAATAAAATATCCAAATAGATATGCTATATTTGTCAATTTTAAGCTTTTGGTGCTATTTTAGAGAAGTGCCTTTATATTTAGAGTAAAATTGTATATTTTATGAAATTTTGGAAACATTTGGGATAGAAAAACAATTTTGCTCTATAAAATAAACGATAATATATACAAGTAGAAATTTAGATATAATATTTATTATGAAACTAAAGATGAGCAATTTAACTTTTTATTATTAGATTTGTGTATGATTATTTACTGGCTCTAGTACTTAGTACTTTACTAGTCAGTACTACTGGATGATTAATTTGTTAATCAACGTTTTGATTAAGAAATTATTGAGGCGCAACTAATCCAACAACGACTAATTATATACATCTCTAATTATAAAAGTTAAATTGCTAATGTTTTTTATATAAGATTTTTTTAAAAAGACTAATTATAATGGTAAATAAAAATTATAAGCTTAAATTATTTAGAAACACTAAATCAAATCAAATCTTTGTCTACACAGTGATAGTCAACAGACAAGTCACTTTTCAAACCACAAAGCAAACTGCTTTATAAAAGCAAAAGCTGTCCTCTTCTATCTTTCATCATTACTCAAATTTGTTAGTGCATATCACTGATTTCATATACAATTGGAAAGTGAGTTATTTACTCATTACCATTTATAGTACATGAATTTGCCAAACTGAGGTACAGTGAAATAAATTATTGTCTTCATAAAAAAGTTACGAAAAGTTTAGTTTTTATTTTTGGAAGTAATTTATTGAGATGAATTCACAATCAAACAATGGCATAATTAACGGTTACACCTAGTAAAAATTAAATACAAATAAGTTTTTAATGAAATGCATAATGCTTGATTTTAAGGCAAATTTCGGCCCGAAGTCAATAATTTGTGTATAAAGATAATGGTATAGAGAAAAAGTTAGTTATTTTTGCTATTTCGGACAATTTTTGGGGGGCAAAAAAAGAATATGTTAATATGTTATTATGATTTGTATGTCGTGTGCATGGATACACGTGTGATACAAAAAGCTGATTTCGTCATCTTCGTAATCAATCTCAATGATGCTAATAAATGATTTCAGGATCTATAAGTTAGTACGCAACTACATCGCAACGTTTGTGTCATTGTATGCATAGCAATGACCAATGAGAAAGTGAGCCGACTCTTTTAGATTTATAGGATTATAAAACCGAAATGATCGATAAATATTAATTCGTTAAAGTTTGGAAGTCAAAACTAATAACTCATCTCTACATAGAAGAAAAAACTGAATCCGAACCGTAATCAATTTTGTAGGTATAACTTGGAAGTTGTAACCAACATTTTTGTTCTTTTTGGCAATATTGATCATCACCGTACTGTATTTTTTTGCACAAAAAAAAAGATCATCGTATTTCTCTCACGATTTAAATTATTTGATTTATGACATTGTAAAAGACGTTGAAATGTTGTTGCAATTGTAGCTTAGTTCTTGGATATGTCTGGCTCTTAATTATATAATTATACAATATAAAAATCAAATTAACAAAGATAACAACATAAAATTCAAGTGCCTTAAAATTGCCTTCCAAAAAAACGATTGAATGTTCGTACGTTATTGAAAGTGATGTAAAAAGTAAAACCCCACGTCTGTCTCTTCAATCATATATTGTTCGTCACTGGATACAGATTATTGCCCCTCCTGCCTCATTTTTTTTCCTCTTTTTTTTTTTCTTTTTTTGTTTGAACACCAGTGCCTCCTTTTATTGTTTTAACAATATAAGATATTTTGGTAACGTTAGAATTGGCTAAAAATGATGTTAGTGAAATACCATATGACGAAATACCGATGGAAATTAATGGTGATATCTGACGAAATTTGTGTAATGAAATCTGGCGGAATATAGCAAATCAGTACTGTATGTTAAAAAAAATGGCAAATAAGCTGAGTAATAGAATAAGGAATCAGAAATTTATTCAACTAGAAATAGTTACAGAAAATTTGAAAACAAAATATCTGAAAGAATAAAAAATATTGCCTGCTTAATTAGCTAACGGAAACTATTATCTAAAATGGTTTTTAGAATCTATATTAGTATGAATAGGTTTTTAAAAGTGTGATATTTTAGTCAATCGCCCATGAAAAAATGGGAGTAAAACTAAATTAATTATTCAGATTAATTAGAAAAACATTTGCCTGTTTAATTAGTTAACGGTAACTAATATCTAAAATGGTTTTTAGAATCTATATTAGTATGAATAGGTTTTTAAAAGTGTGCTATTTTAGTCATTTTCCCATGAACAAATGGGAGTAAAAGTAAATTAATTATTCAGTTTCATTAGAAAAACATTTGCCTGTTTAATTAGTTAACGGTAACTATTATCTAAAATGGTTTTTAGAATCTATATTAGTATGAATAGGTTTTTTAAAGTGTGCTATATTAGTCAATTTCCCATGAACAAATGGGAGTAAAAACTAAATTAATTATTCAGTTTTCAGAAATATTTAAAGTTCTACCTAAGTTAGTAATTTATCTGAAAAGACAAAAAATTCGTTCCGATTACAAATTAAGAAAGTATTGAGAGAAAAACAAGCAGACCAAACCAAAATACCTTTTTTTTCTCGACACTAAAAATGGCCCCCTTAAAGATCTATCAAGGTTAATAAAAATGAAAGTGGTACATGCATCAAATAATTTCGGGGTCGTTTCCATTGACAAAGTTGTCTGGCTAAAACCAAAACGACATTACTTTATACATTCATTGTCTATTACATATATGGTGTTATGCAAAATAGTATTTACGTAACATGCGGGTATCAAAATATATATTAAAAACATGTATATAATTAGGTTCTGATTAGTAACACGTAAATTTGTGTAATCGTTCTAAAATTTTGTTTCTTCAATCAAAATTTGGGGTTGTGACCATACAAACGTTAAATGATCTGCAAAGCTCAAACACAACAAAGCAAATAACATCATATCACGACCATACCAACATTAAAAGATCTTCAAAGCTCAAACACAACAAAGCACATAACTTAAAATCTCTCTGATGCAGAACCCAGAGAACATAACAATCACCAACGTTAAAAACCCAAACAAGAACTACTTTCATCAGAACATAACATATTCTTCAGAGATCTACAGTTCTATCTTATTCAAAAACAAAACACAAAGACCAATAAATCAGAATATATATCACTCTTCTTCTTTAACCACTTCTTCTTCTTTCCAACAGAACCTAAGAGTCGATTTCGGTGAGCCACATTCAACAGTCTTGACAAATTTCTGGTAAAGAACCGAACCACCAAGCTCAAGCTCCTCTAGTCCTCTCTCTTTGATCAAGTATCCCTTCACATCAACCACACAGTCACGCGCCAATAGTCCTGTCCCATGATCAGCGTGCACCGCTACAGAGAACTCTCCCGGTCCAAAACAAACCAGAACCCTGTTCACCAACTCCTTAAAGTTCAAAGCTTTTAGATCATAGCCAACTGTTTCAAAGCTTGCATAGCTAAAACCGTCTTCTGGTATCACGTGAATGGTCGAAACCGCATCTTCTTCAATTGAATTCATCGAGTAACCGCACGGGTCAAACTCAAAATCGCAGATTTCAGAGCTTGGAAGGATGTTTCTGATACCAGAGCTAAGAGTCATCTCAGAAGCTGAAACCAAAGGGGTTTTGAAGAACACCGAAGCCTTTCTCTTGTCTAGACCAGTCATGCACATCTCCAATGTATACACGGGTTTGTCGCAAGCTGCAGCAGCTTCATCAGAAGAAGAAGAAGCAGAGTAGACATGCCATCTCTGAGGGTTATTAGCTGATCCTCCCATCACTAAAGCCTTGCTTCCTGATTTGAGGTTACCAAAATAGCCATCAAGTAGAGCAACCTCCTCTGAGAAGCAACGGTGAGGGTATGATTGAGCTACAGAGAAAATAAAACTTCCACGAGTGTAGCGGACGGATTTGACTGTGAGGGAAAGGGAATCAGCCAGATTAAGGATATGTGGGATTGAAAGGAGCAGCTTTGTAGTCCCGCATGTTTTGATGATGATCTTGTAAGGATAGACAAAGAGGCTAGACTCAGAGAGCACGTAAGAGTCGACAAAAGAGTTTGAAAGCGAGGAAACAATGCTGCACGCTGCTGGAGTCAAGATCTCATCTAGTTGGGCTTTAGTAAGAGCACGTAGACCCTTTCCCTCGGGATCAAGAAAGACACTAGGCTTGAAGAACGAAATTTCAAGCCTTTTCTCAAATCCTTCAAAACCAATAGCAGAGACAGCCATTTTTTAAAAGATGAGTGCAAATAAAGAGGAAGAAGAGTTTTGAAAGCAAAAGATCGTTAAAGCTAGAACGTTTGATCAACCACGCTTGTTAAGTGGTTAGGAGGAAAACGTATTGAGGAATATCAGGATGGTTTGCGAGTGATCTGCATAAGAAAAATAAACAAACAAAGGGAAACATGTATAAGAAGAGAATCAACAAGTTTGCTATACGGTTTCTTCTACAAACTCTAGACTTTGAAACAGCAACTATACTTACGTTTGAGTAAGCAGCAGATCTGAATTTCTTGATTCCACCGTTTGGTCGAACGTCTTCAATGCTGTATCCAAGAGGAGCTTCGTAGAAGAGACTGTTACTACTACTAGACTTCTTTTTTCCACCTTTAGTCTCCATTTCTCATTCACCTAAAAGATTATCACATAAGAAGAAGCAAAGGAACAATTAAAAACCAGAACTTTGTTTCACAAGTAAGGCAAAACTCTCAGAGACAAAAATCTATGCATAGAAACCATCTCTCAAAAGCCTACAAAAAAAAGCTAATGATATCTTTTTGATAATAGAAACGACTAAGGAAGATAAGACTAGTGAAAAATCTGGGATTGTGGATCTAAATCATCATAAAAAGGTGAAGTTATTCCGATACAGAGGATAAAGGCTGATAAAGAAACAATTTTTATAGGTCCATACAATAACGCTGATCAATTGGTATCAAATCCTAATCTTTATCGAAGCATAAAGGTGGAACCTTTAGAATTACTTGAACAAACTCTAAACTCATGGAAGCAAGATAGTAAAGAGGTTAGGAGAATGCTTAGAAGACACAAATATTGTTTTTAAGTTAACGAATCAACCAATCTGATTAAACCCTTGAGAGCTGAAACCCTGAAAACGGCGATACAAACAAGAAAACGCATAAATATCGAACTCCAGAGAATGATCAGAAAACAAAATTCAATACCAAAGAACCCGAAATTTTTATTGAAAACTACCCTATTTGATAGGAACGGGACGAAAAGATTGATTTGACTCGGGAAAAATGAAGAACTCCGAATTGATCTCTCGCGCTTGCTGTGATGTTAATTTTGATTTTCTGAAGTGAAGAGAAAATTGAGGTTCTACGAGACACGAATAGCGTAAGAGGTATTGTTTTAAAACAAGTTTATTTCACCATTGAAAAGATTTGATTTAACGTAATTTTGGCACAAACGTTACACGGTCAAAGTTAAGGGAAATCATTAGAGCAATGATTATGATTTTTTTATTTAATTTTCTAGACGAAATTTTTTAATTAATACTTTCTAGTTTCTACTGCAAAGTACATTTTAATAAAATTCTTTCTTAAGTCGAAAGACAGTAAATGGTTTTTTTTTTCTAATTGTAAATGAGAAAGACAATAGATGATGATAAGGTCTCAATTGATTATTCAGGAAAGGGAAGGCCGCGCATCAACTTGTTGATATCCTAAGGTTAGAAGATTTCTGATTTTATCCTTATACTAGATTTTAAGACGCATGGGAATGTTTTATTTTTTATTTTTAATATAAGTTGCATTTATATTTTTTGTTTAGATATAATTTATTTTTATTATTTTTTTTTAAAATTAAAAAATTATTTTTTAAAATTTTCGTAATAAATTTAATTATAATTTTTTTTGAATTTTTTGAATTTAAATTAAATTGAATGAAAATTTTTGTAACTAAATTTAATTAAATTTCTAATAATTTGAAATTTAAATTAAAAATGACCTAGATTTTAGGAAATCTAAAAATATCTAAATTAATAACTAATTTCAGAAATTAAATATAAAAATAAAATAAAATATTATAAAAAAATTTTTTGTAGTGTTTGGATGTTAGTATTAAATATTCTGTTTTAATAGAATAGATGAGAAGGATAGAATAATTGTGCAATATTTTAACGATAGTATTAATGTTATTTTGACAGCGAGTGGCATAAAGCTGGAAATTTTTGACCCAAGAGCCAAGTTGAAAATCTTCTCAAGACATCTATCTCTTTGTCCCCTTTGATTTTCCTGGAAAAAAAATTGTATATCGCTATTACAATTTTATATTGGAAATAGAAAATTTTCATATGGTTTAGTTGAGTAGATCACCAATTAGAAAAGTAACCATGTTTTTAGGAAAACCAAAGACCGTGAGAGGAAAGCACCATTAGAGAGAAGGATAGATAAAAAAAACTTAGTGGAAGATGAAATATTGATCTGATAACCAATAAACTTATTTGAAAGATTTAGGAAGAGGAAATTAAGGTCTTAAACTTAGATAACTCAGTCGAATGGGAGATGTATATTTCGGCCTTACCGGCGTTTAAACGACAACAAAGTATTGCAGTAGCGACGAAATTTACAAATAAACATCACTTTAAAGAGACAGTTTCATATTAATGCGTGGTAGACTGGTACTAAACTTGATTCAAACTTTTTATTATTCGAAATGTTATCGTCCTCTTTGAGTTTTTTTTTTCTTTCTCTAAAACAAACTTTTAGTATTAGGTTACAAACTTGTATATCAAATGGGTTTTGTTGTTTCCTTGTGAACCCTAATAAAATAGTACAAGTCTTGAGAGTAACTTACACCTTTCTTGTGCTTGAATTTTCTTATAAGAAAAAGAACTGTACTATATATACGATACGTCTAATCGTATAATTGGCCTGACTAGTCTCTAAATGTACTATACACATATAGATTTAGTATAGAATCCGTAGCCTAAAGTTTTACAGCGAAGATCTTTATTTGGGAACAAAAACAGTGAAGATATTTGAAGATTCATTTATCGAATACTGCAAATTACAACTTAAATATACGATAGATGTAAGACTTTGAATGGAGAGAATCTTAGACGTTAGCGAATACACAAAAAATAATAATTAAGGGGGGGGGGGTAGAAGATTTGTGGTGTGCAAGAGAATTTGGTTCACTTGGTGGATGAGATTCTTATTCCTCTTCCATAATGTTTTAGTTCCTTTGTTCTATATTCTCTATTTAATATTCATACATGTTTGTGTGTGTGTGTGTATTCTCTATTTAATATTCGTACTTATTGTTGTTTGTGTGTGTGTAATGTTTCTTTTGACGTAGGGATTATATATATACCTAACAATTCCAATGGAATACAAAGACTTGTGCTACTTTTATTCAAAAAAAAAAAGACTTGTGCAACTGCTATGAACTTAATCAGAGTAAACCGAGTAGCTACCCTTAAAACCGGATCCGGTTGGAGGAGTATTACATAGCTAAGGATTAATAATATTATTAGTTTGGTGAGGAACAAAATGAAAGGAAGTAACAGGCAAAAAAATCTGAGGAAATATGAATATCAGTTATTAGCTTTGACATTCCTCCTCTTTCGGAAAAAAAAAAAAGAATTATAAGAGGTGATTTTTCTTCGACTTTCTTCCATTTCCGCATTCTTCTTGGTCCATGTCGCGTCTTGATCGATCCATATTTTTCAAAACCTAAAATTATATAAAACAACCAAAAAAACACTACAAGAACATCCTAAGACTCTTAAAGAACACAAAGACTCAATTGGTCAACATAAACAAAAGTCAAAAGAAAACACTTTTTAAAAGATCATTAAAACACACCAAAGAGCATAACAAAAAAAAAAAGAGACTCTTAGAGCATCATGAAAACACATCAAAGAGAATGGAAACAAATGAAATGAAACGCTAAAAACGGAATACATCATACTCTTCTACTAATTAATATCCCAAAAAAAACAATAACAACCCAAGGTTAAGTATGCGTTTTCCGACATAAAATACGTTTTGATTTACGCAATAACGCATTCAATAGAATTTCTTACTTCATATTACTCCAGTAGAAGAATTGGCAAATTCTTGTGTACTCCGGGCATTAGAGCCACATATCGTGCATATTCCATACAAGGCTACAAGCCCATTCTGAAAAATAAAACGATCACTCGTTATATGAGTGTATTATCAATTAATATATTAATTAATTGGTCATGAGAAAATGGATGTTACTAACGACTAAAAAATTATCGGCGACAAATCTCTAAAGTGCTTGTTCTGCTGTAGACTCATTCTTATTCGATGTAAGGGATTGGAAATTTTCCTGTGTTTTTAGGTATCATCGGTCAAAAAAGACACATGAAAAATTCAGACACACTTACTTATTTACTACTAATTCAACTATTTAAAATCGAGTAGATTAAATATTGAACACTTCCTCAAATCGTGAGGCTAACACGGAGGTCGATGTACATTGAGTCGGGTGCTCCGGATGGGAATATGAGAAGTTGTCTCCCAAGTAACTGCAATATTTAACTACTAAACATCATGATTTCAAGTGATCCATTAATCTCACTTGCGTTCTTTTTCAAAGGAATATATGATTATTGAAATGCTCTTTTTCGAAATTTTATTGTTTTGTATTTTTTTGGAACCTAATTTGTTGGATTTTTTAAGACTAATGTTGGTTTTTTTCGACTAATGTATTTGGATTCGTAATTGTAAATATAAAAACAGTGGTTGATAAATATAACTATAGAGTTTATTGTTAGAATATCATCAATCCGATTAAACCCGGTCAGACTACATTTATCTTTATTCGATCACCAGAAAACATTTTTTAAATTTAATCCAATTTCCATCGATACGTATTTCATACAATCAAATTTTGTGCTAACAACAGCTAATGCTATAAACTAAAGAGACGCTCACGAAATTTATTGACGAAGAGTAGCTAATGCTTGCATCATAGATCTCTTAAACTTGAAAGAATTATATTGCACACGTGATCATTTTTCAACTTGCATAAACAAAAATACAGTACTAAACTAAAACTCCAACAACAAAATTATTATATTATTCTCGATGCAAGATACTACTACTAAATTATTCGACAAAAATCCAAATTAATGATGGCGAAACTTCTTGGTTTCATCGATATTGATAAAATGTACAACCAATATCCCGATTTAGAATAAAGAACTACAATAATTTAGCTTACATATACGAATTCCCATACCTTTCTACTATTTATAAAATTATATAAGATCTATAAATATCAATGATGTATGGGTCGTGATCATTTGTTAACGTATACAATACTTTAAAAGTAATATTTGTGGACATCATTAAAGAAAGCAACTTTGATTTTGTCTATTTTTCTCCCAAAGAAACTTTGATTTTTGTCTACTCATATAAAACGCAGATGCTATATTCCTCTAGGGAAAGAATTGAGGCCAAAACAAAAATAAATAGAAGAAGAATATGATTCTTTAAACTTTTCAAATGTAGAAAAGTATAGAGTATAGAACAGCGACAGCCTGTTCTCTTTGATGTATACAAAAAGATTGAATAGGCAATATTATATTTATTTCTATTTAAATAACCAACCTCTTGAGGAAAAAAAAAACCAACCTCTTAATTACATCAAAGTTCGTATATTTATGGCATTTTATTAACTTGCACGCATTTTCGTTTATGGTTTCTTTCAATCTCCATCGCGTAGGACACGTACTCGAATGGACCAAAGCAACGATCATAATTAACTCCAAAATACTGTTATTAGCATCATATCTCAATCGACATATACTTAATGTTGAAAACGTAAAGAAAAGATAGACAGAAAGTCAAATTATTATGCCTTCACGAAAATTACTCCCAACAATCTGAAACTATATACAAACCCATTTTACAACTAAAATAATTCTGAGCTTAATTCGGGAGCTTAATTCATTAATTGATTCATATACATTTGAATTACTAATTTATAGGGGGTGGGAAAAAAACTGAAAAATTCTTAAACTAAAAGAAAACTAATGAAATCTTCTGAAACCAAAATCGGACAAAAATTTATGTATAAGTTGTTTTATATTCTAAAACTTCAAAATTGAGACCAGTTTACAGAAATTAAAAATCGAACCCGGTGTTAGTGTAATCAAACAAACCCAGACCAGATAAACAAAAAAAAGTTTCAAAAATATTCATCTTAAAAACAGATTTTAATTCTAGAAAACTGTTACCATTGATTACCCAACTTTACTAATCAATTGGTGATTCTATACTCTATAATACATCCCAATTTTGATAAGAATCTAAAAAACAAGGGACTTATAATGGAAATATTAAACAAAGATCGTTACAGATACGCAAAGCCCTCCTTTCCACTCTCGTCCCGCTTCGCCTCTTTTAGGACGCAGAAGAGAGAGAGAAGAAAGAGAGAGAGAGAGACTCATAGGCTTTTAGCTCTCTCTGTTTCTCTCTCCCTTTCAATATATCTCCGATTCTGATTTTGCCTCCTCGACGTCGTCTTCGGCTTTGTTGCATTTCACCATCTCTGAAGCATCGTAAGTACTCTTTTTCTCTTTAACCTCTTTTGTCTTTTGAATCGAATCTTAAGATCGAATTTGCTCCTCGTTTACTGGAATCTACAATTTTTTTCTAAGATCCTGCTACACTAGCTTTGTTAACCGGCTAATTGCTTCTCCAAGTTCGTGTATGTTGTTAAAATTGACGTAATTTCAATGTTGCCAAAAATAAAAAAAATCTTCTCTTTTTTCTGATGGGTCATGCGCATTTCGTTCTTGTATGCTTTAGGCATTTTAGGGCATTTGAAAAGTTCTCGTCTTGACACTAAAGATCCATGCTTTGATGACAATTTTGTTTGTTGTTTTGATCTTTGACAGGTTGATTTCAAGACCCAATTTCAGATTTGGAATAGATTTTGAAATGGGTTACATTGGAGCACATGGTGTAGCTGCTCTTCATAGATACAAATACAGTGGTGTGGATCACTCTTATCTTGCCAAATACGTTCTCCAACCTTTTTGGACCCGTTTTGTCAAAATCTTCCCACTATGGATGCCGTAAGTGTCCTTTACATTGTTGATTGGTTGTTCCTTGAAGGGAGCTCTCACATTCTGTAATGTTCATATTAATTTTCTAAAGATCTCGTAGTCTCTTGGTTGATTCCTCGGGATTGAGATTCTTTGCGGTTGAATGAGAGTTCGAACTAACGTCTTTGCTTCTCTTTTTCATGTGTTCCCTTTTGTTACTCACTACCTATGGGTCCATATCCAGGCCTAACATGGTATAATGTCAATCCTATTTGGCATTTAAACTCTAATGTAATGTTGTTGCTTAGGCGATAATACTTCTGGTTTTGTTATTGTAGATAACACTTATGGGATTCATGTTTCTCGTCACATCTGCGCTGTTAGGCTATGTGAGTTGTTGGCTGACTTACTAATTTTTTTTCTCTTGAAGGTTTTGGTTGCTTTAGTTGGTAGTAACTTTCTGTTTTTGCTCATTTGGATTTTTTCAATCTGTTTTAGGTATACTCACCTCAGTTGGATTCTCCTCCTCCTCGATGGGTCCACTTTGCACATGGACTGCTTCTCTTTTTGTATCAGGTCTGCACTTATCTCTTAAGGATCCAATTGTTTCATCTGCTTGTTAAGGGACATGTAGTCTTTTGTACTGACATATTTGGAGCACTTATGATTGTTATTTTAGACATTTGATGCGGTTGATGGGAAACAAGCACGAAGAACAAATTCTGGTAGCCCACTTGGAGAGCTTTTTGATCATGGTAATCTTATGTTTCTCAACGTTAATCTATTTTTTTCTTTGTAATATGTTTTTGTCAGTTTTGTTTCTGACACACATTTCATCTTTGCAGGTTGCGATGCACTTGCTTGTGCGGTAGGCATTGCAATCCCTTTTTCATATATTCCTCTATTTTAAATTATGGATCAAATTCTTGCAACCGGCGCTGATATTTCATACTACAAAATCAGTTTGAGACTATGGCATATGGGAGTACTGCTATGTGTGGAAGAGATACTTTCTTTTTTTGGATTATTTCAGCTATTCCATTTCTTGGAGCAACATGGGAAACGTAAGTGTTTTATTTTCAGCTTAAACTCTGTTTTGATCGCTGCAAAATTCTAATACTTTGTTCTTACCCTTTTTGTTTTAGCTATTTTACCAATACACTTACTCTCCCGGTAGTCAATGGTCCTACAGAAGGTCTTGCTCTTATATACTGTGGCCACTTCTTCACAGCCATTGTTGGTAAGCTTAAAAAAACTCAAAAATCTCTGTCACCAACACCAACAACTATTTTGTCTAATACTTTGATATTGTTTTCATCTTAAGGTGCCGAATGGTGGGCTCTGCAGCTTGGTGAGTCAATCCCCTTGCTCAGTTGGGTACCGTTTTTGAGCGGTAAGAACCACAAACCTTTTGCTTTTTATTTTTTTCCCCAAAGTTGTCTCCTTAACAAGTTTATTTACGCCATAAGAACTTTTCTCGGTTTTATTGTTTTCCAGAGATTCCAACATCCAGAGTAGTACTACTCACGATGATTACTTTTGCTGTTATACCAACACTTGCGTTAAAGTGAGTCTTCTGAAAATTCAATGATCTTGTATGGCTAATTCTTACTATGCATTTTGCTCTGCTAACACCCACGCCGCTTCATTCTACAGCATGTCCAGTGTATACAAAGTTGTACAGTCAAGAAAAGGAAGCATGTTTCAAGCATTAGCTATGGTATAGTCTCTTAAACTAAGTTGACTCAATTGATACTTTCTGTTTTTTCCTTAAGTTGTGAGTGTAACGTCAACGTTTTTGTGCACTCAGCTGTTTCCCTTCGTCGTGCTACTTGCAGGAGTTTTGATTTGGTATGTTTCTTCTCTCCCTTGAACTTACCAATTTTTACTTTTTGAGACTTATATGTATATTCTTGTATTTATCAGGGATTACTTGTCACCAATTGATCTCATAAGAAACTACCCTCACTTAGTTGTCTTGGGAACTGGTCTTGCATTTGGATTCATCGTGGTAAGCAATTGGTTTGGAAATTTAATATTCATTGTTAATAATAATAACCATTGAAAGCTGAGCATTAGTCACGGGTTTATGACTCTAGGGAAGAATGATTCTGGCTCACTTATGTGATGAACCAAAAGGATTAAAAACAAACATGTGTATGGTAAATATCCTATAAACTTCTCTTGTGGTCCAATTATTTCTTTCTTTTTCGTCATAGTATTCAATTCTTAAACCTTTTTCTCTTGTACAGTCACTGCTTTACCTTCCCTTTGCACTAGCAAATGCGCTAACCGCTAGACTCAACGACGGGTATGTCTATTTTTCTCATTCTTGTTTCGGTTTTACTTTGTCGTTTTCACCAGATTTTTAGTCTTTTATATATCAATATTATGTTGATCTTCTGTAGGGTTCCTCTTGTGGATGAGTTTTGGGTTCTTCTTGGCTATTGTATATTCACAATGTCACTATATTTGCATTTTGCAACTTCAGTCATTCATGAGATCACAACTGCACTCGGAATCTACTGCTTCAGGTTTGAATAATATATCTTCGTTTTTTAAAACATTTTTGTTGTTATATATTACGAAAAATCGATTAGTATAAATTGTTTATTTTTCATCAGGATTACTCGTAAAGAAGCTTGAAGAGAAACAATGTGATTGAAAGGGAGAAAACAAAAATTCCTTAAGGTATGCTTTTGTAGGTTTTAGCTTTCTTCTTCCATATCTTAAAGAACTTGTGTGTTGGTTAATATTTGTTTATTTTCTCTGAAAGTTTTTTCTTTTTTTTTTCAGGGAGGACAATGCAAATCCCAACACGAATCTGAATATTTTGATACAGAAATTAAACGATTCATCGATATGTTTTTGGATGTATACTCATTATTGTTTTTCTTTTGTTTGTTTTGACAAAATAGGTAATTTATGTAAAACTTTTTTTTGTAACATTTCTAAGCAAAAATATCGGATTTTTCGTAATATGTACTGATAAAATGTCGTTCTTGTGATTACATTTTGTTTGCCATCCTATTCCGATTTGCTTTAATTTGTGTTATTTAGTTCCGTAGTAATGTTTATTACGTCAAAACGAATCGGAAGCATTATTTGCTTTTGCATAACAAATATCATCTTTTGTTTACACATGGTTGGGTTGGTTAGAGAGATATGGACCTCTAACTTTGTCGGAACAATAGTAATTTATAAAAGGATATGCCAAAAAAACATATTAGAAATGTTATTTCTATAACCACATGATACTATTAGGCGGTACAGACGGTTTTGGCAGCCGGTTTAGAACTAACCAAACTGGACCAACATGGGATTGCAGAAGGTAAAGTGTGTAGAAACTAGAAAAGATCATCAAAATTAAGTAAATGAGAAAAACTAAGATCATAAAATTAGAGAGATATGGACCTCTAAGAAATTCAGCAGATCATCAGATGCAAACTCGATCCTCTCCCTAGAGCACAACGAAATCATCCCAACACCGTCTCTTACCTGACTTCTTGGTTCACGGTCTTTCAGAACGATATCATATGTCCCTTAGTATAGTATGATTCCTAATTTTTTGTATACGGCTCTTTGAGCTGGTGGATTGATTGCGCTATAATCCCGCTGAGAGTATCTGTAATTAGGTCTTATTAATAAAAATGCAGTTTAAAAAAAAAAAAAAAAAATCATAAAATTAACATGGGTTTTTTTTTACTGTACACCTAAAGCAGGATCTTGTCTCTTCAGGAATGAATAAGCCAATCATGAAACACAAACAATATAATTAATGAACAACGGAACAATACAACACAATGATTATGAACACATTTTATATTTTAACATGGAGATACGCAGCCAAAATCAAATTAAATTTATTCATTTTTGTAAAAAAGAATGAAGAATAATTTTAAAAGAGACAAAACATACCTTAGAACATTGACATGTCTCAAATGATGTCTATTGTTCAAGCATGCTGCCTAGGGCGTGCCGACTTTTGCATTATCTCACTTTTTTACCCACCCATTTCTCTTCTATTTTTTTTTTTTAATTTATCAAAATCCTTTTATATTTATTTTCACCTTAACTTGGCCAAATTTGAAAAATGTAGTAGTTTAGGTTTTTAGGTTTCCTATGAAATAAAAACGAAATTACATACTCCATATTTTATCATTCCGCTATTTTGATACTGACAAACACAACAACAAAAATAGATTCCAGAATTCATATATTTCTTCTAATGATTCTATAATTTTATACACTAGTTTTTTTATTTTATGTGATTTTCTTATTGCAATATTGCTTGCTATGACAAACTGCTGGATTTTAGCTTGTAAACTATAACCCTTTTTGTTTATTCGTGTTTATACTAAAACATTTAGAGACGTAGGAGTAAATATAATATTGTTTGAGAGGAAAAAAAAGTAAATATTTTGCATAGTCCACCACGTCACGTAAAACATTAAAGTCCATCACTCATAACTCAATAGAGACACAGCATTCTCGATTTTTTTCACGTTTCTATTTATGTATACGTTTCGTGAGTTTTAGAATAAACACTAGACACATGTATGATCTGTGTACCCAAAATTAACTTTAAACACATGATGTTCTTTCTTGGGGGCCATTCACCATGCCTCGGGTTATATATATGTCATGCTTTTCAATATATAGATGATTGGTAATTAATTTCTTTTTTTACGAAAGTCAAACTTATATATTTAGAGAATAAACACTACCACGTCACCCAAGAATGAGTTTTATTTGACCAAAAGCGTTTATTTATTACGAATATATTTTTCCCCCGATCGGAAAATAGTACACTTATATCATAAAAATAGACAACCAACTTAGCAAGAATTATTTACTCACGTTGGATCATAGTATAAAAATGTGTAGATAGTGTTAGCAAAAAATGTGAGATAATGAAGACATTTACAATGTCAAACTGAAAAGGACAAAGCATGCACAATTTTAATCATTAAACAGACTAAAATATATATTAAAAATCAAATTAGCTAGATTCGACGAACTAGTCCGTTCCTGTGTATTACTCAAAGCTCTTGATAAATCTTATTTTGGTTACAGGAAATTTTCTAATATCTCTCTTTTCTATTTTAACGTAAATTTGGTTAACTCATTGTAGTCTAAATGTTTCGTTACATTGGTCGACAACGATTATCTACTTTTACCTGTTTGCATTTTCTTCCACTCGTCTGTATCAATAATTATATCGGGATTGTATGTTTTTCGAGTTGTATGAATTTTGAATGGGAATCTTGAATCCAAATTCCATCTGAGTTTTTGTTAGTTTTTTAAAATATTCAACGCAACCGAATTTAACGTTATTCAACTTTGGTTTTTAATCAAATGTACATATTCTTAATTCGAATTTGACTTATGTTTACCATATATATGTAGGAAAATATATCCTCGGGGTTAGTTGAACGCTTTGACGAAACCCCAGTATCCAAAACCCTTTTGTCAAAAAAGAAACCCAGATATCCAATGCATAAAAAACTACATATGATTATGTATTATGTATATGTTTTCAAGGACGAGACTTAGTTAATAATTTGACAAGAGAATTAAATAGTGATTAATATGGACTTGTAAGTTCTAAAACAACAAACGCAAACGGATGAGTTTCATTTCTCTCCACATATATTCCTCTTGTACTCAATGTTTTTGTTTCTTGTATTTACCCTCGCTCCTTCTATTTTTTTAAATTATTTTGCCTTTTCCTCTTTTCTTCCTCTTATAATGTTTGGATTTTTTCTTGTTTATTTGTGCTATAATGTTTTTGTTTTTACATTCATGTTTGAACAATTTAGACATTGACGTGCATGTTACTTACCTATTGAAAATGTCATCTGGTCTAAATCAAATAGCCTAACTATAATTTAAGATCAACAAAACAAATGATTGTAGCTAATTTTCTGTAGTCTTTTGTGACGTTTTTTTTCTTTGATAGAATAATATTTCGACTTTTGATTTTGACAATTTGGTGATAATAAGAGAATAAGAGAAGTAGATGATAGTACAGCCAAAAAAATCACAGTTTAAAAAATTAATCGCTTTGTCTACATGAAAACTTAGTAACGTAAATTAATATTACCGCATTAAATTATGGTTATTGATTCCTAGTTTCCTACACAAGAGACTTTAACTTCTACTGTATGTTTATCAACATTTTATATTTCAAAATTTATCAAATTGAGTTTCATACTTTCAATTTTCCTCGGCTTTATCAAATTCAAAAAAAAAAAAAGGAAAAACAACCCTAAGGTGCTTTCTTGATCATTCCCTTTCTCTTTTTCCTTTTCCTTCCCTAACTTTTTCTACCGATTAATTACTTACAATTTATAATCCCTATGGTGTAATAACCAACTTAATATCTCTCGATTCCCACAATCAAATGCTCGAGTCTGTAGAACAGTTCCCATATTGATTGAGGTCGATGTATATTACTTATATTTTTACACTAAATAAGTAAATAACCCGTAAAATTTGCCAAAATTTGAGGATATAATGTCAATAATCATGGAAATAATTGGCATAAACAATAATATAAACAGTAATTTTATAAAGAAATTTTAAATTTGAAACAAATGGTGGGGCAACTGAAAAGAGGAAGAAAAAAGAAAGGAGAAGAAAAAATAACAAAACAAAATAAAGAAAACGTAAAGCTAAAGCAAACCCTCTCGAAGCCTATTATAGCTAAGCGTCACTGCACTTTCTCACTCTTTCAAATCCTCTCACTCTCCCATCAAAATCCGAGAAAAAGAAAAAGTTTAAAGAAACCCTAATTTAAGATCCGATCGTCGTCATCTTCAGTTCTCTGGATCTTCAATACCCAAACAGAAAACTCCAAATTTGGCAACTTTTTTTCTTCTTTTCTCTCTGTGCTCTGTTTTCTGATTTTGTCTGCCTAAATGAAAGACAGAGGAAAGAGAACAGCAATGGAGCGAAGGAACGACGACGTTTCGTTCTACTACAGCACTCCGTCGGAATTCTCTTGCCGGAAACATCCATCTGTTTCCGCCGTCGGAATTTGCCCTTACTGTCTCAACGACCGTTTAGTTAGCCTAGTCTGCTCCGAATGTGGCGAACAGAGACTCTCTTCTTGCTCTTGCTCCGATTTCTCTCCTAACCGAACCTCAAACGCCGCCGCAGACCCCGGAAACGTCGTTCGGATCTCTTCTCTCATCGACGAAGAGACAACGAAACAGAGGAAGACGGCGACGATGGAGAAGAGCCGGAAAACAGAGGAAGTTGTGGTGTTCAAGAGGAGTAGCAGCAGTTGTGTTGAGATGAAGAGGAAGAATCATAGATTCTCCAAGATCGGGAGGTTTTTCAGGAAGATTCATCTGAAAAAGGAAAGAGATTTCGGAGTCGATGAGAAGAGCAACAACGATTCTTGGGTTTTGGATTATAACAACGATGGCAAGAAGTTAGGGGTTTCGAGGTCGAGGTCGCTTTGTAGTTTCCGAGGAGGAAACGGATATTTTATCGGGTCGGAAGAAGACGGGTCTTCTTATTCCGGCGCGAGGAGCTCTTTCTCCGCCGCGAGAAGCTCTAGCGTCAATGGCGGGTTAGGGGTTTTCGAGACGACGGAGCATCGGAAGAGCAACTTCGAAGGGAGGAAAAGCAATTTCAGCGAGAAAAGCAATTTCGAAGGGAGGAAGAGCAATTTCAGCGAGACGACGGAGAATCGGAAAAGTAATTTCAGTGAGTCGGAGCCGCCGCGGAGAAGCTGTTTCGAGGCGAGGAAGAGTAATTTCAGTGAAACAGAGTATCCACGGAGGAGTAACTTCAGCGAAACAGAGTATAATCGGAAGGTGAATCCGGAGAATAATCATCCACGGAGGAGCAATTATGAAGCAGCAAGGAAGAGCAATTTCAACGAGACGACGACGACGACGGAGCAGCATCGGAAAAGTGATTCGGCGGCGATGAATTTTACGAGAAGGGTTTTGTCGATGAAAGAGAGTTACTTTACCGGAGGAGAAGAGCCTGGTTTCATAGATCTCAAATTCGATTCCTCTGGAGGAGGAGGAGGAGAAGTGGTGGCGAACGACGGCGTTTTGGAGCACGGAGGAGGAGGGTCTTGCCGGTTAACGACGAAAGATCGAGAGGTGAGTAAGAGTCGAAGGAGTTTCAAAGGATGGAAATGGATATTCGGACATCATCATCTTCTTCATCATCATCAAAGAGATTCATGATGATGATGATAGTGATTGATGAAACAAGGAAAGATATGATTTTTATGGGATCCAATAAGGAACAATTGAGCTGTTTTGTGTGATCCGATGTCGATTTTAGTCCAAAAGCTTTTAATTTTGTTTTTTTTTTGTTAAAATGATTTGTCATTTTGTTTTGTTGAATATATTATATCGACGCATCGGACTGCAAGTTTTGTGATTATGAGACAGTACCAACACAACTCCATTATTAACCGGTTTTAACCAAATCTCATTTTGTAATCTGGTTCTGAATTCTGAATATTATCAGTCAATTAGTTCATTTCCTGACATTTTTTTAAACGTTTTAAAACGCGATTACACTACTTTTTATTTTTTTTGAACTTTCATCAAATTTAAATTTCACTTTTAAAAAATGTGATTTAGCTATGTTTTGGATGTGTTAGAACTAAAACATCACTAATTTACTAAAACCGGGTCTAAAGAGATTAGGACTAAGCTTGAACTTCCTAGGTCTCATTGACTCATCGGACTCACCAAATAAGAAAACTAGTATTGGCCTATTGGGGAGACTTAGAGCACCTCCATTGGTGTTACTCACCTTGTGTCTCTTAGGAATATTTTAGTGTTATTTTTAGGAAAAGAGAAAAAGTTTAGAGACTCATGTATTTGGGGTGTCCATTAGTGTTATTCTATTGGTGTCTTTTAATAATAAAATAATAATTTTTTTGAAGAAAAAATAATTTACTATATTTTTTTAATTTTTACTAATGTTATTTAAAATGATAGTTAAAGAAATAATAAATTATTTTACAAGACTGAAATTTTAAACATACAACTTATTGAAAAAAACATAAAACGATACAATTTTAAGACATAGAACTTATTGAACAAGAAAACATCAAATGTAAATTCAAGTTGTGGTTTAGCCACCAAATTTGTTCCAAATATGCTCCATCAAATCAGCTTGCAAACGTTCATGTATTTTTTTATCACGAACTTTGTTACGATTTCCGATCATATTGTTGATATTTGTAGGCATATCCGTAGAATACGTCATATCAACATGTGAAGATCTGGTTCCGTCTGGTTGTTGGAATCCTGAAATATCGTACAGACTGCGGTTACCTCGTTCGTTTTCCACAATCATATTGTGTAATATGATGGATGCCCTCATAATCTTCCCAATCTTTTCTTTATCCTAGATGAGTGCTGAATTTTTAATAATAGCAAATCGGGCTTGGAGAACTCCGAAAGCACGCTCGACATCTTTCCGGACAGATTCTTGATGTTTAGCAAACGTTGTTGCTTTCTCATCTTGTGGAAGGTGAATGGATTGTATAAAGGTTGCCCATTTCGGATAGATACCGTCGGTGAGGTAATAAGGCAACTTATAGTTGTGACCGTTGACGGTATACCTCACTTTTGGGGCTCGACCTTGTAATATGTCATCAAACACAGGTGAACGGTCAAGCACGTTTATATCGTTCAAAGTACCTGGAGGCCCAAAGAATTCGTGCCATATCCAAAGATCGTATGATGCAACAGCTTCTAATACGATTGTCGGTTTTCCTGCACCACGTGTATACTGGCCTTTCCAAGCGGTAGGACAGTTCTTCCATTCCCAATGCATACAATCAATGCTTCCTATCATCCCGGGAAAGCCACGTTCCTCTCCAACGTCGAGTAGGTTTTGGAGATCTTCTGGTGTCGGTCTTCTGAGGTACTTATCTCCAAAACATTCTATTATACCGGCAGTGAAATTTTCCAGGTATAAAATTGCGGTTGATTCACCTAGTCGGAGGTATTCGTCCACCGCGTATGCCGCACAACCATATGCCATCATACGAATGGCTGCGGTACATTTCTGTAGTGCTGATAGCCCTAGACGACCGGCAGCGTTCCGTCTTTGTTGAAAGTATGGAACTTCTTCAGATAGCTTATCCACAATCCGCAAAAATAACAGCTTGTTCATTCTAAAATGACGTCAAAATATATGTGGAGGATAGGTTGCATCTTCCGAAAAGTAGTCGTTCCATAACCGGAGGTGACCTTGTTCCCGTTCTCGTTCAATGTATGCTCTTTTCTTCTTCTTCTTAGCTGCAGCAAGACGCTCTAAAACTTCTTCATAGGCTTCTTCAAACTTTTGATCATAGAACTCATCAAATTTTTCATCAAGGAAGTCATCCAAATTATGGTTTGACGAAGATGCCATTGTTTGTGGGTTTAGGTTGGTTTAATATGGAGAAAGATAGAGTACGAATGATAAACAGAAAGTAAAGGAGTGTTTGAAGAAGAAAAGGAGAAAAGCGAAGTAAACAAAAATAAAGGGGAAAGAATGATCAATGGAAGCCTCAACTTATATTTATAGGGAGCAATACAAAAAATTGTCGTGTACATAATACATATATTTGTGGTGTACAAATTACAAAGACAATAATTGTTGTGTCCAATTACAAACGACTCGTCCACATTACAAAAATTCGTGACAGTATACCCCTAAAAATGTGGTGTCATAGTCATTTCTCCAACTCTCGTGACAGAAGACACCAAAAGTTCCATGTGCCCACATCAAGTGGTCTGCGAATCCTGAAACAAAAAAACAAAAGTCATATAGGAATTCCAATAATACAAGACCCGAAATGATCGAATTAAACCAAGTCAGAGAATAGTCATTCAACTTATATAACTACGTACCGTGAGTATAAAGAAGTCGAATTTAGGCATACATATATGCAAACTCTAACACTTGTACTCTGTAAAACTCAGGCAAGGTTTGAACACATAACAATTAGAAACACAACATCACATTATCATTAACTTAAAAAAACTAGCAACAAAGTCAGACATAACATAGCATAACATAACTTAAAAAACCTAGCACCCAAGTCATAAACCCTCTAGCAACCAAACCATACAACAACTCAGTAATTAACTAAAAACGGATCAACCCAACAACTCAGTAATTAACTTGTCTTTCAAGGATTTCTCCTTATCAGACAGTGGTTCTGTCTTCGCTAAAAGTTGATCGAGGGTCTTGTGTTTTGCAAGCATGGGACTTCATCTCCATGTCCTTTTGCTTAACCTCCCAACATCTCTCAAACTCCTGAAGAAACTTTTCCTTCTTCTTTCCCACCGTTTATCTTCTTTGCTTTCGCCTTGGCTGCTTTCACACCTGGTGGTCGTACCCCTGCTCCATCATCTCCATTGCCTCCTCCATCGACGTTGCTTGGTGACTGAGCCGCATGTGCTGCATCAAACTTCATCCGTTTTGAGCTGTCTTTCTCTTTGTGAGAGGATGCTCTGCACCACTTCTGATCATGTCTTAACTCTCTCCAAGCGTGTTCTAGGCTGAACTTCACCTGGTGATCATTGAAAAAGATCGCATGTGCAGCTTTCATGATGTCGTTCTCACTCTGGCCACTTGATTTCTCCTTCGTAGCTGCCTCATAACATCCGACGAACTTGCAGACGAGGTCATTAATCCTACACCACCGTTGCTTGCATTGCCCTATTCCTCGGCTTGGCTGTCCTGCAAGCTGCGGTGAAGAGTTATAGTAGTCGACTATGCGCGACCAAAAGGCTGCGGCTTTCTGGTCATTCCCAATAACCGGATCTTTACTAGTGTTGAGCCAGGCGCTTATGAGTATGACATCCTCCTTTGGTGTCCACTTAGTTCTCTGAGCCGATTGCTTAACTCCTGGGCTTAATTCACCAAAAGGTTGAGTACCAAACACAGGCACTTGTGATGATCCAAGGTCAATGATCTGGCTCGTTAAAAGGTTTACAAAACCTTCGGTTGGACCATAATGGCTTTCGGATTCCATTATGGAGTGAAGTTAGTGTTTTATAAGAAGTTTAGAGAGATTGTTGTGAAAGTTGCTGTGTTTTAAAGAGATAGAAGTTTACTGTTTTAGTTTAAGGTTTATGATGGGTTTTAAAGAGTTAGAAGTCATTTAATATCATACACCTAATAAGCATTGATTACTAGAGTAAACCGGTCATAGAAGTTAACCACATCTATGCATTGAACACTACAGCCATTTATCACCAACCATCCTACGTAACTAAGAAATTAATTCCATTGGAAAAAGATGACTAACCTTGCATAAAAAAGGTTGGTTGCAGAGCCGGTTGCAGCTTCTCCATCTTCTTTTTGTCCCATCATGTTACCCTCGTAAAACAAAACCAAAATAATTATCAATGTTAAAACCTATCAATGGAAATAACTACACCAACAACTTATCAATGGAAGCTTTAACTTGTTCACCTAACAAAAAGCAATGGTGCATTTAACACAAAACAAGATTAAATCGGCACTCAACCATAAAATAAACTACAAATTAAAACAACAAAGGTCACACCATAGCAACCATATAATGAAACCGATTACAAGCAACCGATTTGGTATATGGCTTGTTGATCGATATCATACCATAGCTCATTCACAACTCTCTTTCATTTACACGTTAATAATGAAACATATTAGAAGAACACAATCAAACGATGCTCATGACCCATAGAGATGATGAACACAATCAATGCAAACAACACAAACTTGATCATTCGTAAGCCGAACAACACAAACAAAAACTTTCATCAAATCGACTGATCATTCGTAATACCTAATCCTAAACGATATCACAAGCCAAACAACACAAACCGAAACAAAAAAAAAAACTCGAAATCTTTGTCCCCAATTCCACGAACCCTAATTTCACAAAGTCAATTAACAAAATTAACGGCGTCAATGATTGCTACGAAGTCACGCACACACCTATTGTGTTTGAAACCACCCTAATTCAGATCAATTAAACGGAGAAAATCATTTCTCCCAAATCGACGAACTCTAAAAATTTTCTCCAAATCGACGATTTCACCTCCAACCTAAACAAGAAGCAATTACGAGAGTGGAATCTTACCTTGCATGTCGATTGGTGTCATCATTTTGTAGAGAGATTAAGACGCCGCCGTGTCGGACCGACGATTTCAGCTCCGGCGAAGAGAATCGCCATCGAGAAAGAGAGAGAAGTAAAAGAGTCGAAAATTTTTTCTAAGTCCACGAAATGATTTCCCAAACAAAAAAAAATTAATCAAAAAAAAAAATTTACAAAAACTTAGCCAATTATCACTCTCACGTGGCGTTAGAGACAGCTCCTTCATTTCTTATCTAAGGAGCGATCTCGTCGCATTTTGGGCTTAAAACATTTTTATAAAATGAGTTTTACTTAGGTTTTTGGGCCAATTTTTGTCTAAAATTTTTGTCTAAGGAGCACCAATGGAGGTGCTTTTATAAAAGGCATTCAAATTCATTCGTATTTACAATTGAACCACAATCACCGTTTGCGTGAACCACCATATCTTTAAGGGAGTAGTAAACTAGTAATGCTCATCAAGTCATCTTGTGTGATGATAAGCTTTTACGGGCCTTGAAGCCCATCTCATCTTCATGAATTTTGTGCCCTTGAAATTTCAGTTGGCTACTAAGAAACACTTAAAAATATACACATATACGAATCTAATTCTCTGTAGCATCAAACAGTTTTAAAAACGACTTCACAACACAATTTCTGATCATATATATACTATACTACTTGACTGATTTTGAGGAGCTTGTTGAGATTGATGTACGAGATAGAAATCAGGTGTGGAAGCATGACTTGATAATATTGCCTAAACAAACCTTTTTGAGATGGAAAACGTGGTTGAAGTTAGACAAGTTTGGCCACGCATGTTTCATATCCGATATGAAAGAAAAACGTGTAGATATGAAGACTGTTTTCCATATTGAATCGAATGTATAATACAGTTAGATTTATACATATAAACATTCGTGAAAGTATTATTTGATTTCTCTTACTTTATTGCTGTATGATCCTATTTTATTCTTACCAATTATGTTTCTACTTTAATCAGTATAACTTTTTTTTTTTGCTATTATCAGTTTTAATCTTATATAGTTCTGGTAATGACTTAGGCATGGTCCTATAAAAAAAGGTTCAATAGATATATATTTTTGCCAAACGTATCAATGTGTCATCCAATCTTGATGTTCCCATTCACATAACCTATGCTTTGATGTTTATGAAAAGATACTTAGCGTGTACATAATGGACAGCTTTCACAAAGAGCTTTGAATTACGTCATATCGTTTTTGTTCACATCTATAAGCTTTGATGTTTAACAATCCTTTTGAATTATTTTATAAAATTTTCAATATACTTCAATTCCTATTTTCCAGAAAGATTTGTAATCACATGATCATTTCAAATTCGAGGACTATTTGGATTTAATGTGTAAACAGGGTACTTAATAACATTTTTCTAGCTAGAAAAATATTAAACGTTTGAGCGTTTTTTTACTATAATTTGATCGGAAACCATTTTCTTCGTCCATACCCTACCAAAAAGAATATCTTGATTGAATGGCTACATTAATATTTAAGTAAAATTAGCCACGATTATCGTAATCTCATAAATTCTGTTCACACATTATATTATCTAAAGTAATGCTCCATATAAGTTCATTTATTAAGTTCATTTATTATATTTGCTTCCTTGATTAGCCTTTTCCCAATGTCTTCCTTATAGAAGCAAAGAACAAAGGAGTTCCTTCAAACCAAATATCCAAAATTACCACAATATGTTAGAATTTAGTTTCTTCTTTAATTTCCTCTATTGTCTTTATATTTCTTATTCGACTCTCTCCTTCAAGATTCCATGGAAGATCTTAACACACTTGCAGCTGACTGCTTCGTTTTATCGTGTTGTTGCAACTGTCTTGTTCTCCAGATCGGGATCTTCATCTTCCTTGGACTTCCTCAAAAGCTGGTCAAGAACACGAGAAAGTGTTACGCAAAATGGGGAATAAACCGAAGAATAAAAAGAATGGGTCTCGGTTGTCAATGTCGAAGAAATATCGTGGTTGATTCGGAATGGAGAAAAGAGTCTATGAGTCTAGAGATGGAAGGTTTTGGGTGTATTGAAGAAGTTGAAGAAGCTTTAGAGGAGTTTTCAAAGAATGGTGAGTTTTTGTTTGGAAGCTTCTGGGGAAAAGAGAGGGTTCAAAATTCCTCGTCAATGTCAACAAGTTGTATTAATGACAACTTTGACCTACGATTTGTAAGTCGTTATGAGATCATCGAAGAAAATTTCTATTCCTTAGATTATATATTCACTACTTCACACAAATTTTATTGAAATCTATGGAAAAATATATCCAGTAGGTTGTTTTTTATGCTTGTTCCAAACTTAAGAAATCCATATTATACCGACTAAAAAAAAACTACAAATGATATGCTTTGAGAAATAGTCATATAATTGACAAGTTCTTTATTTTATTTTATTTTATTAGAAAGTAACTGACAAGTTCTTGTTCAATATCGGCCTCATACAAAATTCAATGGCCTTTAGTCCTTTACTCTCTTTAGTTGTAAGCGATTATCATAATGAAATTTTAATGCCCGATAAATATTATAATATGGTTGTAAGAAATTTTTTTGTTACAAATATTTACAGCATTTTTTGTAAACATATAGAACAAGTATAGTTGGTAAATTCAGTACGGTTGATTCATAATAAGCGGTATTTTTTCTAATGGTGAATGGTTAAAAAAAAAACTAAAATATAAGTTACTGGCAATAGTAAATCTCCAAATTTAGATAAATAACAGCCTGTATAAAAACAACATATAATACGATGAAAACAATGAAACATAATTAACGGTCCATTTGAATAAATATTAAAAAAAAAAAACATAAACAAGAATGTAGTTGTGTGATGTGCTTCCTACCCAATTTCTGATTTAAATGATTTCACCGTCAATCCGCTTTAAGTTGTCTCCACATATTGAATCTTATCAATAATTGAAAAAAAAAAAATATCAAACCAATCAAGAAATTTAAAGATAATGTAATTGAATATTAATTTACTACGCGGGAATACAATTCAATCACATCAGTTATTTATTATTATTTTAATTTCAACTTCGTCTCCATAAACGCGCTTCTTCCACTTAAGAACTATTCCTCCCCAAATCCAATTTCAAAAAAAAAAACCCTAAAATTGAATAAAAATCCCCAAAAATTCTCTCTTCCTTCTTCCTCCGTCAATGGCGTCTGCGAAACCCACCGATCAGCTAAAACAGCTCAAAGACATCTTCGCTCGCTTCGACATGGACGGAGACGGAAGCCTCACACAGCTCGAGCTCGCCGCTCTCCTCCGTTCCCTCGGAATCAAACCTCGCGGCGATCAGATCTCTCTCCTCCTCAACCAAATCGACCGTAACGGTAACGGATCCGTCGAATTCGACGAGCTCGTCGTCGCGATTCTTCCCGATATCAACGAGGAGGTTCTCATTAACCAGGAGCAGCTCATGGAGGTTTTCCGTTCGTTCGATCGCGACGGTAACGGTCAGATCACGGCGGCTGAACTTGCTGGGTCAATGGCTAAGATGGGACATCCGTTGACTTACCGTGAGTTGACGGAAATGATGACGGAGGCTGATTCTAACGGTGACGGCGTTATTAGTTTTAATGAGTTTGCACATATCATGGCTAAATCCGCCGCTGATTTTCTTGGATTAACCGCTGCTTCTTAATTCTCTATGTTTTGTTTTCTGATTAAATTTTTTTTTTTTATGTCAAGTTTTTTTTTTGTATTATGCAACTTGTGTAATCTAACAAAGCGCTAATTTTCCTTCTTTTCTTCTAATTAATTTATTATACCGTTGGTGTGTGACGTAAATATTTATTTGGTGATATAAAACATGCCATATCAAGATTGACTTTTGACGAAATGTGAAAGAATATGCATTTTGACAATAATGTATTAAATTGGTACAAAATTTTCTACATTTCACATTGAATGCATAAAAATAGCTACTTATAAACGCGTGAATTTATCTGTAAAACTTTAAATGGTAGATGTGTTGAAGCAATTGGATTTAAAGGTAAAAAATCACAAGTGCATTTCAACTACTAATTGAGTCTGTTGCAATGGTGTCGTGTTGCATGCACTATCAGATGAGCTATAATGGTGGAACAGTTAATTAATTGAAATCGTTGACAGAAACAAAAATTAAGTAGATAGTGTATATAAGTGTGATACTTATATCAAACGTAAAGACAAATGGGAATATATCATAGACAATTTTTTTTTTTGGGTTGGTGCAGCATATCCTAAAGAATTATTATCTCATCGAAGCTCACAGGAACCTTCTCTTTGTGTCTTTGTCTGAAGTTGAAAAGTCCAAAATTTGCTGTCTCCTCTTGTTGTGTAGTCTAAATACATTGTAATGGACCAGTGGACACATGGGAATTTACTTCCATCTTTTAAATTTTAAAGTAAAAATTAGTGTTCCAAAATCGGTTGAACGTTGGGTTACTTTAAAAAAAACAAAAAAAATTTACATGGAACTAGGTAAACAAAATGAACTTTAATTACATGTAAAAAATTATGTACAAAAAATATTCCCGTGGGTGTGATGTGAATTACAGATGCCTTCTCTGGCAAGGAATCTCGATGACAAATCCTAATATCCACTTAAGAGATAATACCTATAATAAATATATTCACATAAAAACAAATTCCTATACTCTTTAGAAAGCAACAAGATCCTTATGGATCTGATCGTGAAACCTACCGGAGCGCCGTACACTAGCGGCTCTTCTCGCCGTGTATCCGACTGTGGTGGGTCTAATCGATCTCTGCCTCACCATCTCAACGAATTCAGGATCATTAGAGTGACCCTCATACCGAATCCATTGAATCATTTGATGGTATTTAGGGAAAAACCTCATTTGCACTGACTTGTAGACAAAGTAAGGGATCAAAGCGAAGACCATCACGAACAAAGTTGTTAGCCAGTACGAAGGAGCAGGAGCTAGGGCTTCGAGGAAGACCATGTAAGCATCGGTAGAGAAACTTGGAGCCATAGCACCATAGATCATGAGGAAAATGTACCAAAAGGCAATTGATCCCCAAATCACAATGTGTTGGACCCAAGTGAAGTAACTTATAGATAAAGCCATTTGGAGATTCACTACCCACACGACGCAAGTGTACATTAATCCACCGAGGATTTCTCGGCCTGCGGTTTTGCCGTTTGGGTCGAATAGCTGGTGTTTTAGAGATTCCTTGCAGACGAAGAAAATGACGAGTGCGCTTATTAATCCGTTGAACATCCATCCTATGATCCTTTTCCAGCTGAAGAGAATGTTTTGCACACCTTCTTGGTATAGCAATGGAAACTGTCATATAAAAACAAAGGTCAGTAACTCTTACAGATAAGATTTTAGACATTGAAAGAAGATGAGCCCTAAAGTCAAAAACCTACCTTGTAACAGAAGCGAGCTGAGACATCTTGATCAAAGACTCCGAGAGCAATGACAGGGAGAGAAGAGAAAAAGACGTTGAAAAGAGAGAGGAACCAGTCGTTGTATGCAGGTTGTGCAGAGAAAGAAGTGTAAGCTTCATATAAGAACACCGTTACACCAAAAGTGATATTCTTATAGAAGAAGTAACATATCTGCAAATGGCCAAAAAAAACTCTGGTAAGAGAAAAAGTTGAAATGATTAATGAAATTAGAGACGTTTTTGAGTGGAAAGTGTCAATCTTTTTACCATGGATGAGATTCTGCTGTAACACCAATGACCATGGACTAGCAATAAACGCTCTAGATATCGGAATTGGGCAATGGCAATATCACTAGACATCACTGCTTGCATTCCTTCGACGCCGCTTATTCCTACACCAATGTCAGCTTCTTGAAGCATTCCTACATCATTTGCTCCATCTCCAATCGCTAAAGTTGTTTTACCAGTTCCGGATTTAACCAGTCTCGTAACCTAAAAGATAAACCTCTTTTGTTAGAACAGAAACATTAGAAAGAGGAAAAAAAAAGCATGAGAGATTTCGTCTAAGAGATTTGAAGATTGTACCAATGCTTTTTGTTTAGGTGATGATCTGCAGCAAATCACAGAGGCACAACCAGTGGCGAGATCAAGAAACGTCTTCTTGATATCATCCTCGAGGGCGTACGTTAGCGACTTCCCGTCTATGATCAAGGCAAATGCTTCAGAGCCTGATGCCGCAAGTAAGGCCTTTCCTTCTTCTATTTGCTTCACGACGCTTTCCCTCGATGCCAATTCGATTTCGTCTTTGATTCCAGCTTTCTCCAGGGACTTGATATGTGGTGTCTCAAGATTGATGATGATCTGTTTCATTTCTTGTCTTAGTAAACTAGAAGCATATCTGCAAAAGAAGAATTTTTGAAGTCAGTAAAACCAAGAAAACACAGACGAGAAGAACGTTCAAGATTCAAACATAAGAAGAAGATTCAAGATTCAATACCCAATATTGATTGCTGTTTCCATTTTGTCTCCAGTCAGAACCCAAATCTTAATTCCAGCCTGAGCAAGCTTGTCAATACATTCTGGAACCTAAACATCAATCAATAAATAAAAAACCATTTATTTCCAAAACCCTAAACTATCAAGAAAATATTGTAGCTTTATATAGTATTTAGTTAGAGTTCATACCCCATTCTGAAGTTTGTCCTCAACAGCAGTAGCACCAAGAAGGATGAGATCACGTTCCATCTTATCGGTGAGATCATCTATTAAAGCTTCACGATCCTCGCTTACTGAACTCTTAGCTTCATTGAAATTCTTGTTGAACTCTATGTACTCGTTCTCATCAACCTCACGGTATGCAAGTATTAGAGTCCTTAGACCTGCATCTGCATATTGGTTTACATGTTCTTGGGTTTTTGACTCGAATTGACGACCGTGCTTTGCTAATCTTTCAAACATCACACTAAAAAAAAAACACAAAAAAAAAACAAAAAGTTAATATCTTTAAACATAAAGGTCTAAAAAAGTGTCTTTGACGTCTAAAATCGCTTACTTGTCAGCTCCTTTGGACAACAACAAGAGCTTCCCTTCATCATCTCTTACAATAACTGACATTCTCTTCCTCGAGCTATTGAACTCAAGAACGTTTAATAACCTATAAACCCTGCAAGAAAATAGTAAGCTTTTGAGCTCAAAGAATCACAGAAATGAACTCTGTTCGAAAATAACTAAAGACTAGAAATCGAACCTTTCAACTTTTTCCCCTGTTACAAGATCCAATTCACGAAAGGAGATTCCGTTCTGCGTCCGGTTAAAGAACTCGAACCCAAACTCTCGTGCTGCAACGACAAACGCAGCTTCATCCGGAGACTCAGCTTCATAAGAAACATTCCCGGTCTCTTCATCGGTTTCAGGTATTGCCGTGTGACACACGGCAAGCAATCTGAAAAACTTCTGCAACACGGCAGCTTGAGGCTGCTTCACCCAATTCCCATTCATAACTCTTTCGTCCTCAAAGTTAAACCCTTTCACTTTAGGAGCAAACTTGTCCACAACAACATCCAAATCTTCATTAACCAAAGGCGAACCACCACTTCTCACAGCCATAGCTCTCTCAACCTCGGTTATACCTCGTCCATAAGCCGTACCGGCGATAGAACACTTGATAAACTCCATTGAATTGCACGTCAAAGTCCCCGTTTTATCGGATAAAATCGTATCAACCATACCGAGCTCTTCGTTTAAATTCGAAGTCCTTGCCTGTGCTGGTTTATCAGTTTCTTCGTAGTACATGTGAACGTCTCTGTTAATGAAAATGCTTTGAAGAACTTTAACGATCTCAATCGAAACATAGAGTGATATCGGGATGAAGTAACTGTAGAGCATTACGGCGGTTAAAAAATGGAATATTGCAGCCATTGGAGCTTTCTCAGGATCGAAAAAGATCACTGCATCGTCTGGTTTCAAGTACCATCTCTCTGTTTTTCCGTTTTTGAGTTTGTCTTCTCTTGTTTCGACTCCGAAAATGATTGATCCAACGAATGACATTAGGAAGACGAGACCGAACATTAAGTAGATGATCTTGTCCATTTTCCTCTCTATCCTGCTTCTCTTTGATGGAGGATCAGTTGAATTCTGTATCACCTGTTTTTCAATTCATCAAAACATGAGTTTTTTTCTCAGAAAACAAAAAAAGTTTAGATTTTTATCTAAAAAATTGGGAATTTTACCGCCATTGTTAAATAGTGGAAAATTGTAAAAGAATATGCGCAAATAGAATTTTGATTGGTAAAATCATGTGAAAGTATTATTATTTTAATAAAATCTAAAAATCTATATAAAAAAAAGGTTTTTGTTTTGGTGAAGACAAAAAAACAGAGCAGTGAGAGATCTGATGAAACTGTGTGTACCTTCGTGTCATTGCCGGTGAAAACGACAGCTCCGTACACATACTCTGTGTTTCTGAGCTTCGAATCTCGGAGAAGAATCTGTTGAATCGACAACGGAAACCTCTCTTCTTCAAGCTCCAAACTCCCAACGAACATATAAAGATTCACATTTGGATCTTCACATCTAACAACGCCTCTAAAATCTTTGAAATCAGAATCTTCGTGTAACAACGAAGAAGTAGCTTCAAGCCCTTGTTTCACTTTCAGGTTCGTCTCTCCGTCGAGATTCATCGTCTCTACGTAGCAAATCGAATCCTCGTAGCTCGATGATAGAAGCAAAAGATCCGCCGGAAAAAACTCGTCTTTCTCAACTCTCACTATGTCACCTACTCTCAGATCCCTCCATTGCTCTTGCCGGAATATTCCATTTCCGTCGTGTACTTTCACCTTTCTGTTATTCACCTCAATATCCTGAAAAAAAAAATCCAAACTTTATTAAAAGTCGATTCAAGGAATTTATATAATTCTCTATTAACA